TCAACTAAGAGTTTTCAAGAATACAGGGAAATCCTTGCTTTCTGCAGATCAGCCAGGGAAACTCCCCAAGTTTCATGAGAAACCAGCAGCCAGGGCTGTGGGTTTGAGGCTCACATAGCGATTATGTAAGGATGTAACTCAAAATATTTTGTTCACCCTCTGTGCAGGGAATTATTGAAGATGGAGAAAGTTCTGAAGTCAAAGCCGTGTTAAACGATGAACGATATAAATCCTTCAAAGTAAGAGATTTTGCATTTGATTGCTGGGGAGTGGTTTTCTATTTCTCGCTATATTAACTAGGGCTGCCATACTAACATGCCACAGACTGAGCGGCTTGAATAGAAATGTATTCTCTGCTGTTCTGGAAGCAGAAAGTTGAGGTCAAGGTCCTAGGAAGGCCTCTCTTTATTGCTTGCAATGGCCTACTACCTTCTTGCTGCTGCCCTAACATGGAGGAGATAGAGGTGAACAAATGCATGGGTCCAGTTTGCTTGCTCTCGGTTATCTTTCTTCCCTCCTGCTATTTTAGTAGGCATGACTCCATGCTTAGGGAATGGCACCTCCCGCAGAGGGTTTCCTACATCAGTCAATAGCCAAGCCACCCCCACGGACATGCCCACAGGCCAATGTAGTACAGGCAATTCCTCGTTAAGATTCCAAAGTGATTCTATATTGTGTCCAGTTGACATTTAAAACTAATTAGCACATCTCCCAAAGATCCCATGTGCAAAAGGATTAGGACTTCAACATGGGGTGCACAACTCAGTCCATAACGGAGTCCCAAGAAGCAGATACATGAACAAGGTGCTTCAGCTTCCTTCCATATGAAGAAATTACCTACCAAGAATCTCTTTTGTGGTTACAACTGTCAAAGGGGCATAAGGATATGAATAGAGCAAACCTGGTCCAGAGGCACAAACTCATGTCCTCACTGTATCTTCATTTCTGGGACTCAGGGTCAATCAACTCCCAGTTGCTCTTACCTTGGAGTTCCTGGTACTTTGGCCAGTTCCTTTAGTTCATAAGTGATACAAGGCCTAGTGCATGGTGAGAGCAGGCTCTGAGTACAGGTTAAGCCTGTAACCTGCAATTACCCACTTGTAGATCGGGTAAATATGCTGAGCCTCCACGAGCACACTCCCATCCAAGGTGTGGTACATGATTGAATGTAAGAGACTGAGCACCCTGGAGGCAGCTGGAGAGACAGTCTGTCACGTAGGTTACGCCGAAGCCTCACACAGGTGTTGGCCTGCCTCTCACCTCTGTTTCATCTTGTGACACTATGGCTGTGAAGGGAATCTCCAGCCTCCAAAAGTTACCATCTCCAGGACCAAGAGAGAGCTTAGTGAAGTATTGAGAACCTGAGCAAGAGCCTCAGAACCAATATACAAAGCCAGGTGTGGTGATATGCCTTTTAAATCTCAGCACCAAGGAGGCAGAGACAGGAAGATTCCTGAAGCTCATTGGCCAGCTGTCCCAGCCTAAGGTTGGCTTCCATTCTCCACACGCAGTTATATATGCTTACACATATTGTGCAAGCACATACACACACACACACCTACCCCCCCCCCACATACACAAATGCTATTCCTATTCTCTTGTGTTTTCAAGAGTAGCTGAGACAGTTTTGCTTGTATTTCTTGTCCATAACCTGAGACTTTGGAAAGTGCCACTCCATTGTCATAGTGATGATAGTGATGATCTTTGGGAACTAACAGCCTGCCTTTCCCTCCCTGTTAGCTCTTTACATCTGTGTTTGGAGTGGGGCTGAAGACCGCTGAGAAATGGTTCAGGATGGGCTTCAGAAGTCTCAGTAAAATCAAGTCAGACAAAAGCCTGAGATTTACACGAATGCAGAAAGCAGGTAATGGAATTGGGAAAATCATGGGTCGCTCTGGGTTTGTCTGGGTAGAACAATATGGAAGCCACTTTTACTTGGCCTCTAGTCTTGGGGAGTCCAGAACCTGTCACTGAGTGATTTGGTTAAAACCTTGAGGCTTTGTTACCTCACTGAAGAGCCTGAGACCTCACTGAAGAGCCTGAGACCTCACTGAAGAGCCTGAGACCTCACTGAAGAGCCTGAGATAATGGGAATACATCAGTTCACCGAAAGCCCTGAGCCTGACCTGGAAGAAGGCGTCTTCCTGGGCTGCTATGATTACCTTTATCCAGATATCATACGTGGACGGCCACTGTTCTGCTTCCTACAGCCTCCTCTAGACACTTGGGTCTGGCTGTCTCACTGGGTAACAAACACGCAATGGAGAGTCAAGGACGGAGGGATAAGCTGACAGGGAGGAAAGAGAGAAAGTGTCTGAGCAACTATGCTCACACCGGTTGGTTCACACTGTGACTGTGTGCTCAGGGAGGGAGAGAAGGGAGTGTGTGAACAACCTACACTCACACCAGTTGGCTCATACTGTGAATATGTGCTAGGACTGGAAAACAGAAAAGGGAGGCAGAAAAGGGGGACAGCCTTGATCTGTCCAACCAGAGTCCTATGGCCTAGGAGGGGACGGCAGTGCAGCGTGGGGATGGAAGAGCTGTTACCATCATCTGAAAGTCTGGCAAGCACCCCAGACCCCCATGGTGGCCAAGTCAATTCCTTCCACGGACTGTGCTGGTCCCTTTTCCAGAAACGAAGAGATGCGATTCATATGTATAAGATTTGTTTGTTTTTGACATGCAATAAAAATAGAGTAAAATTGTCTTTGAGAGAGTTACAGTCATAATTTTAAACACCATGGCTTCTGGAGTTATGGAGAATAGTGGAGTTATCAAGATTTTAAATACGGAAGTAATGGAGTCTTCTAGCAGAGGATACTGGGCATGTGGGGGTAGTCAACAAACAGACAATGAAAGTACAAGAAACGGAGGTGAATCATATCCTGAGGGTTCCACCAGTGGACACTATAGAAAATCATTATTCATCCTATAACCCTGTTAATTTATGTTTTCAAAGATTTATGTTTATTTTTAGTTTATGTATATGGATATTTTGTCTGTATGCATGTCTGTGCATGAGTGTGTAGTGCCCATGGAGGTCAGAAGAGGGCATCGGATCCCCTGGAATTGAAGTTACAGATGGTTGTAAGCTATCATCTGGGTACCAGGAATTAAACCTGGGTCCTCTGGAAGAGCAGCAAGTGTTCTTTTTTTAAAATATTTATTTATTATGGATATAGTATTTTGTCTGCATGTATCCCTGCAGGCCAGAAGAGGGCACCAGATCTCATTATGGATGGTAGTGAGCCATCATGTAGTTGCTGGGAATTGAACTCAAGACCTTTGGAAGAGCAGCCAGTGCTCTTAACCTCTGAGCCATCTCTCCAGCCCCCCAGCAAGTGTTCTTAACCACTGAGTCATCTCTCAGATTTGCTGATTTCTGAGTCGTTGCTAATAAGCTTTATACACTGCCACACAGAAAATAAAAAAAGTCTAAGAAAAAAGATCCAGTGTTTCTACTCTAGACCCAGAAAGAACACATCTAGCAAGTATGATTTACACCAGCTCTAGAGATACTTTTAAGAAGAAATGTATGTAATCATCAGACATAAATGGCAAGGAGATGGATTGGAACAATAGTGAGAACTGATAACACTCAGATAGAAAGTGGAGAGCAACATCATATTTCACTCAGAGAGCCTTGAACTAGTGATCATTCTACTTCAGTGGCTTGAGTCCTGGGAACACAGGTGTGAGGTGTTAGCTGACAGCTACACATTCATAAAAAATCATAACTTCATGTTCATGTACATCATTGAGTGAGGAACATAGGTAATTCCAGAAACCAACTGAGTCCTACTTGAGTAACCAGTGATGATGGCAATTTCTCTAGTAAAGCCTACTGCAGTGTTGCTCTTTAGAACAAACTCTTTACACACACACACACACACACACACACACACACACACACACACACACACACAAAGCTATGTCCCAATAAAAAGGTAATTGGTAACAGCAGAGTTAGAAAAGACATCAGTATTCATATCAAGACAGTAGTTCCTCAAGCATCTGGCTTGGTAGGGACAGGTGATGGGGGTATTTATTAGCATGAACATCTTTTCTTGGTCCTGTCAACACATTTCTGCAACCATCCCATTTAGAGATCCCAAATGGCTTTGAACCTGGGAACTTTGTTTACAGTGTGCTCCAGCCAAATGGCCTCTTGGTCACCTGTCATCCTGGGGTGAGAAACAAGGAGCAACACGTTTTCTGTGTCTCCTTGTGCCTCTAGAATAGTCTCCCATTTGTCAAGCGGTGTTTGGGTGGTCCTTTTAGGAACCATTAATGAAAGTGCAGTGTCTTGTATAGAAGCAGGAGTAACTGTCAGCAGACTGACTGTCCCAGACACACCCAGCTGCCCTCCAGTACCCACCCCGATTCTTGGAGCTAAGCATCTTTCCCTCTCTGCCTGCGTCCAGGGCACAGCTTATTGGTCAAGAAGGCTGTACATGGTGTTACACACATGTAATCTCAGCATTTGGGAGGCAGAGGCAGAAGAATTAGGAGTTCAGGGACAGCTGAACCTTGCTCAGAAAAAGAGGAGGAAAAGGAGAGGAGGAGGAGGAAGAGGAGAAGGAGGAGGAAGAAGAGGAGGAGGAAGTACTGGTTCTTCGTTATGACGTCAGAAGGATTCCAGAAGGATTTGAATACTTTGCCTTTAGTAAGGACATTGTAGACCTCCCCATGAGAATTCAAAGCTCCATTGTATCCATCAAGAGCCCACAAGCAAATGGACAAGGCAACTCCATGTATTACTTTGCTCTGTGTAGAGTCTGCCCATGCCTAGGAGCACGGGTTGAGACAGCATCCTCTTGCATTAACGCTGGGTCATCTTATGTGTGCCTTTTTCTTCACTGGCCTGTCAAATGGCCTCTCAGGATTCCTCTACTATGAAGACCTCGTTAGCTGTGTGAACAGGGCAGAAGCAGAGGCCATCAGCGTGCTAGTTAAGGAGGCAGTGCTGGCGTTTCTTCCAGATGCCTTGGTCACCATGACTGGGGGGTTCCGCAGGTAAATGATGTGGTTGTTTTAGCACCTCTGTTCTGCCTGCCTCTGCAATGGTGCTAAAGGCTCGTTCTGACCCAGTGCCAAAGGCTCGTTCTGACCCAGTGCCAGCCGCTCTCTGCTGCTTTGACTCCTGTCCCCTGGGTTTCATTCTGGGAGCTCCAAACAACATGACATCCCTCGCACACACAGTTCTGGCCTCTGTGACTTTGGTCAGGGGAAATTTTCTCTACAGTTTTGTAAAACTGGCGCCCGTCTGTCTTCTCATTCCTTAAGACTCGATCTAGATGCTGCTTCCGAAAACCCTTCTTGACTCGCTCTTGCTCTGTGCTGGTTCCCAGATGTCTGCCGCACCATGTACGCTTTCCCTGTGGAGCTAGTGGGGCTTAGTTCCCGCTGAGACCAGGGCATGAGCCTGATCACATAGCAGCTGCTCAAGACTTTGGTGAGTCAGTGAATAACTAAGTGAACGAGTCTTCAGAAACGCCTGTAGTCAGTTGGATACTAATTTAGCCTCTGCATCAGAAAGGGGCTCATCCCTCCTGCCCCCCTACTCACCCCTCCTGAGACCTTACCTGGTCACTTGGATCAAGGAGGACAAAATCTGAGAGAATTTCAGGTTGGGGCTGTCTCTCAGTTGGTAGAATGCCTTTTATCGTGAAGGAAGCCCTGGCTTGGATCCCCAGCGTCTAGTAAACCGGGTGTGGTGATGTAAACCTCTAACCCCAGTACTGGGGAGGTGGAGCAGGAAGGCAAGAATACAGGGCAAACCTCAGCTTCATAGTGAGTTCAAAGCCAGTCTGCACCATAGGAAACCCTGCCTTTAACAAAGGAGGAAAAAAAAGACAAAGAAAAATCCCTTAATTCACACCACAATTCCAAGAAGGCTACCATGTAGGGTATGGCCATAGCGCTTGGTTGGCTACATGTTTCTGTGTGTGTGTACTGTGTACTGGGTATAGAAGTAATCTTTCTTATTCTCATCCTATCCATATACAACAATATACATACCACGTATGGCTTTTTCTGACATAAATTTGTTTTGTAAGACACAGAGTTGTACAACCAAGAATAGGTGGTTTAAAAATATTGTGAGTATTTTGCAGAACAAACCTCACACTTGGAACACAGAAACAAAGAGGGATTATTTTTGTTGTTTTGTTTTAAATAAAGGGCTAAAATTTGAATTGATTTCCATTTTGTGTTTTTTGAATTAGGGGTAAGATGACTGGGCATGACGTAGATTTTCTAATCACCAGCCCAGAAGCCACAGAGGAAGAAGAACAGCAACTCTTGCACAAAGTGACAGAGTTGTGGGAACAGCAGGTAAGGAGACCAAGACAGATGCTTGCCACTCAAGACCCTCTCACAGTGCTTTCGTGTGTGTGTGTGTGTGTGTGTGTGTGTGCACGTGTGTGTGTATGTGTGTGTGTATGTGGTGTGCTGTGGTGACATTTTGTTTATTCTATAACAAATAAAGCTTGCCTGAAGATTAAAGTGCAGAGCTAAGCCACCAGTTAGCCATTGAGGCCAGGCTGTGGTGGCACACATCTTTAATCCCAGCACTCGGGAGACAGAGGCAGACGGATCTCTGTGCGTTCAAGGTCACCCTGGGTTACACAAAACTGAATCTGTTTAAAAGAGAAACAGAGCTCATGCAAAGGTGATCCCAATACTTGGGATCCTGGAGACAGGAGTGATATGACTGGGCGGAGAGAGGAATATAAGGCAGGAGGATACAGGAGCTCAGGGCAATCTGAGGTTTCTTAGAGATGGCTTTCAGCCTGGGGTTTCATAGGGACAGGATTGCTCCTTTGGTCTGAGGATTCAGTAGAGGTAAGCGGTTTCTCCTGTGGCCGGCACCTCCTCTGTGTCTCTGATCCTCTGACTCCAGGTTTTTATCATGAGGACCTATTAGAACTCATGCTACAGCGTGCGTGTGTGGGTGCATGCACAGCCAGAGGTTGGTGTTGGGAATCATCTTCCATCCCTCCTCCACCTTATTCACCGAGGCAGGGTCTTTCAGTCAAACCCAGAGCTTGTCGGTGTGGGTAGTCACACTAGCCAGCTTGCTCTGGGGATCCCTAGTCTCCACTTTCTGAGGCTGGAACTGCAGGCAGACTGTCATGTCTACCAAGCACTTCTGTGGGTTCCGGGGATGGGAAACTCTGGTCCTCAGGCTGACACGCCAGTGCTTTAACCGTGAGCATCTCCCCAGCCCAAGCATTGTGTTCACACAGTGGCTACCGAGTCAATTCTCAATTGTTTGTAACACCTCATCGCGGCTCCACACAGCTGGCATGAGACTGACAAGCTTTGGGTCCTAGGCTGCACATGACTTGCTTGAAGAAGGAAGCTAAGTAGTGTAGGCCGGGGCCTCAGAGGTCATGGCCGATAGCTACTGCGCAGGATGAAATCAAATCTGCTACAGGGCCATTGAGTTAACCTTCTCCCACAGCCAAAGCCACCTGACTTCTGGCCCTCTTGTCAAACACCACTTCCTAGAGAGGCAAAGGGCTCTCGCCCAGGGACCTACAAGCCTGACTGAGGGGAGGAGGCTGGGCCTGAGTTTCCCTAGTGCAGCTTCCCCTTTCCTGGGTCAAGCTCACTGGTGAGCCAGAGAGAGGACACCAGACAAAGTAAAAACCAGAAATAGCCATCCCAGGAGCCATGAGCACTGTAAATGAAAACTAGGTTTCGGGATCAGCTCTGAATTCATCTGTGAGGCCACGCCACGTCCCCTGTCCCTTTCAGGAGAATGAGCACGGGTGACCAGAGCCTGAGAGTAGACAAGATAAGCTCAGCCAGAAGACACCACAAAGAAGAGCCAGGACGCTTGCCCAGTGCTCTGGGAACAGGGGAGATGAGAGACCCCCCTGGTAGACCAGACACTGCCTCTCCCCCCTGGCCTGTCGCCAGGACTGGAAACCCATTGATGCTCGTTGTTGTGTCATTCTTCTCATGCTGAGACTATCTGTGACTGCTGGAGTGGAGAGGAGGCACTTTCAGGTATCCCTGCTGTGCTCCCCAGGCCAAGGTAGGCGTCGTAATCCCAGGCCCTGCAATGGGGCCAATGGTAAAACGCATCTGATCTGAGACTTCAGAAGTCCAGTCACCAGTGGTGCGACCCTAACGGTTCCTGGTCCGTTTCCTGTCTGTGCTAACAAGAGATTCAGTGGGGGACTCTCTGGGGTGCCTGGCAAATGGCAAAAACCCAACAAATGGTGGCTGTGATGATCACTGTCAGGACTGTTTATTGCACTCTGTGTGACAGCCAGGCACTGGGCTGCCCCAACCCTCCCCTCACAGACAAGTGCCAGCTGATTTGGTGTCGCTACCCTGGACACATCCCCGTGCCTCGGCTGTGAAATCAGTAGAGTTCTTTGAATTCGGCTTCTGCCTCGACTTCCCTGCCTTCCTTACACTGAGCTTCACTTTACAGACGGCTGTAAGCACAGCCTACACGGCGCACACACGTGTGCTCTCAGAACATGCACAGCACACCCATAGATGTGTACATGTCTGAGAAGTGTGCTGAACAGCTCAGGGGCCTCAGTGTACTCTCTCATCAAGAGGCCTGTTTAGGTGTGTCCTTTGGAGAACGCCCCAGTCAGAGGTAGGAGAAAGGGGTTGAAGGGCTTGGAAATACTGATCTCACGGAGGTCAGCATTCCCCAGACAGGCATTCTGCCTGAATTTCAATCGCGGCTGCTGGTAGTTCACCACAAAGGAAGGGGACGACAAGACGCAGGCTCTGGGTCATGCGCAGTGAGTGGCACCTGGGTACGAGGACCTTAACTGCTTCATGGAGTGCATGGAACTTCTGCGAGAGTCAAAATGTTGAGAACCAGGCACGGTGGCTCACGCTTGTCATCTCAGGATTCAGGAGGCCAAGGCAGGAGGATGAGTTCCATTCCAGGCTACCCAGAACCAAAACGAGTTTAAAGTCAGCCCTCTGTGGCCATGACCCTGGGTTCTTAACACATAGATTCAACCAACCTCACATAAGAAAAGGTACTAAAAACAAACAAACAACAACAAAAACAAAAACCTCCCACCCGTGCTGAGCACAGTCATCCCCAGTCTCTAAACAATAGACAACAACGCGTGCATTTACATAGTATTAGACGATTAATCTAGAAGTGGTGGAAAGTCGACAGGGAGGTGTGTGGTTCATATAAAACACTCTACCACTGCGCATGGAGGGCTGAGCATCTGTGAACTTTGCTACCAGGATGACTAGGGAATGAGTGAGGGATGACTGAGGGATGACTGAGGGATGACTGAGGAGTGACTGAGGGGTGACTGAGGGATGACTGAGGGGTGACTGAGGGGCGACTGAGGGGCGACTGAGGGGTGACTGAGGGGCGACTGCCCTCACTTTGGAAAACTGACTTGAGTTTGAGTAGCAGACATTGGTTCCCCAAGGAGGAGATGGAAGGGACTTAAAACAAAGGGCAAGAAGGGATGCTGGCTGGAGGACTCCTCATTCGGCCCCCTAAAATCCCTTTCTGCTCTTACACCATTGGTTTGGCGTAGCCTGTGGTTAATTGGTCCACTAAGTTGGAGGGGGTGGAGCTTCTTCCTTGTATAAAGCAACGTTGAACCGCCCTAACCCCCCAACTCCTCCACCCTCCATACCCTGGGACTAGAGGGAAGGAGCAGTAGGAAATGCCTCCTTTGTATCCAGGACAGTCACTCGGTTTCCACTAGAAGACAACCATGGGCTCCTATGGCAAAGCCTGAGCCCACCCTCAAAGCAGTTTCAGAGGAGCAGGGACAGGAAAGGGAATTGCAAATGGTATAGATACCCCGTAGAAAGCTGGCCAGGACAGCTAGGGCCACATCTGAGGAGGCACCAGGCTCTGCTGCAGAGTACCTGCGCCAGAAGGAACATCCCAGTCAAAGCTTTGACAAGTTCAGGATGGATTCACAGATGCCCCCAACTGTTACCAGTCAGGTGCTTCCACTGTGAGGACCAGAGGAACTCCCAGGGGCTGCCACTTGCCGGGCACTCCTTTGAATCACTTATTAATTTTCTGAAAGGAAACTTGAGATGAAACAGTCACCACGGTCCTTCTCCCACTGCCTCCAAGATGGGCAGATAGTTTTCTCAGAAGCATCATTTCCGAGGCTGGGGTATACTCAGTGTAGAATGCCTCTCTAGCAAGTTCAAGGTCCTGGATTCAATGCCCAGAACTGAAAACAACAGTGGCAGCAGGTCACCGACTCCACACTGGGCCTGGTCTCCCAGTCACAACCCTTTGATCCAGTCCAAGTGATTGTCAGTCTGACACACAGGGAGCAATGTGGCTTTCTGTTCATGGTGGATTGCTTTTAAAGGAGAAAGGCTATCCCTCAGAAGCAGACAGGGAGATGGGGAGACTCCGAAGTTTTATCACGGAGGAGTTTGGGCTCAGTCTCTGTCATGGAGAAATCCCTTTTCTGTAGGGAGAACCCGAGAACTACTTACCACGTTCTCTCTAGCTGCTGAGAGCAAGGATGAAAGCCCACCATGTCTGTTCAGCTCTGAAAAGGCTTCCTGAAGAGTCACTGTGAGATGGTAAGCCCCCGCCCCACCCCAGGGTCCTTTCTGAGCTCTCTTCCCCTCTTTTCAGGGGCTGCTTTTGTACTGTGACCTCATAGAGTCGACATTTGAAAAGTTCAAGCTGCCCAGCAGGAAGGTTGATGCTCTAGATCACTTCCAGAAATGCTTTCTGATTTTGAAGCTGTACCACCAGAGAGTGGGCAGTGACAACAGCAGCCAGCAGGAAGGAAAGGGCTGGAAGGCCATCCGTGTCGATTTGGTCATGTGCCCCTATGACCGCCGGGCCTTTGCCTTGCTTGGATGGACTGGCTCCAGGGTAAGTGTTGTCTGCTGTTAGCTTTCCTGGCCCAGGAAGAGAGCTGATGGCCGCAGGAGAGAATGCTGGGAGAACATGCCCCCAAGCCTCTAAACTAGGGTATGTTACTGACATATGGTCATGCGAGTCAGATTCATTTACAACAGTTATCCCCAATGTGCCGCTCATCCAGCCAGCAGCAGTGGCCTTCCCTGGGGCAGGTTAGATTTAGAAATTCTCCACCTCACTGTATACCACTACATCAGAAACTCTAGGCAGCTAAGCCCAGACACCTGTGTTTGAAAAGCCCATCGGTAACTAGGAGGTATCTTAGGTAAACCCAGGAAGCAACAGAGAAGGGGGTGACCCAGACGGATTCAGGCCTTGGGCCTGCTGAAGGGCTCAGTCCTGCCCCTTCCCAGCTGAGTGATCTTGGACAAGTTTCCTAGGTGCTACAAAACTGATGCCAGTGGCATCCTCCTGGGGCAGCAAGGCCCAGCTTGCAGCAGCCCAGGCTGCAGCCTCGAATCTGTTGTAAACCACGCTGCAGCTGCACCATGGCTTTGTAGCTTCTACCTGCTGTCTATGGTGCTTTGTCTGAAGCATGAGACCACGTGGATGCCCTCTGTCTCCAGTACTTCTGTGAGGTTTTTAAAATAAACTTTGAGATTCAAGATGCTGAGCCCTGCTCTATCTCTGGCTTCCCAGTTTCCAGGTAGAGAACACTGCTTGGACCTTCTGTGGGGCTAATAGTGGCACTAACCCTACAGGGCATGGAGGGCTCATGGAGACAGCGGCTTTATTTTAAGACTGGAGTCTAACTAGCATCTTAAGATCTGGAGTCTAACTGGGCACCCCAGCTCCTCCTTTAGGGGTAACGCTAGGCTCTTGTTAAGCATCTGCAATCATGCAGTGCAGCAGAGAATTCAGAGAACAAAGCTGCTGGCACTAAGCCGGGCACAGAGTCCGGGTTCCATGAAAGCAGTGTCATCGCCTGCACCATGACAAGACACTCCTGAGTATCTGATTTGGTCCTAGCCTGAGGCCATGAGATCCAGTTAGGACATATGGCACTCCTAAGTTGTCCCTTTTAACTCAGGGTAGCATCCAAGGTCAGCGGTGGACACACCAGGAGGGCCTGTGGGCTCTGCCACACCTGCTCTCCCCTATTGTCTGCTGCTGCCGCCCGGCATCCCCCATCTCAGGCTCTGGGCAGCCCACTTTGGGGCTTTTCTAAGAAGGAAGACAGCGGGTGTGGCTTGGCTCAACCTGAGGAAAAGAAGCAGGAAGGGGCAATGGCAGTGAGTGACAGCTGATGTGAATCTGAGTGGCTGCCTGTTGTCTGAGTCTGTAAGATGCAGAGGTAAACTGATTGATCTAGTATTTCTCAGAGCTCCTAGAAAATAATAAACCGAGTGTTTCCCTGGTAGATTCAGTTTCCAGCATGATGCCTGTGTGGCAGTGACCCATGGTTTGCTTATTTTTTCTGTTATTATAAATTGTCTGTGTCCCCTGCTAGACTCTCAGTTCCCCCAACGAACTGGGAGAAGCTGGCATTCTGCAGGATTTTGTTGAGTGAACTGTGTCTCTCTTTACATGCCCAGAAACACTCTGAAGACCACAAAGCGGTTCAGGAAAACATTTCTCTCTCCCAAACCACACAGGGCTGGGAGCTGGGAGCAGCCCCTCATCGGCCCCATTTAGCCAACCACCATTATACTTCCAGCCTCTCCAGATGCTGGCAAACCAGTGTGAGCTGTGGGCAGTCACTGCCTGGCCAAGAGCTGGGGTAGGGTGGCGGTGGGCTATGTAGGAGCTGGCCTGTGCTATCGAATCTGCTCTGGCCAATTATTCCATAAGTCTTGTTGCACCTGCACCTGCTATGAAGGGTTCCTGGTTGGCAACGTCTCACCCAGCCCCAGAAACTTTCCAGTGAGGAGGAAATTTATCACCACTAGAGGGCACGACTGTTCCAGGCATTCTCACTAGGCTCTTGGAAAAAGTCAGCATCCTAGACCTGGGTTTCTCTCAGGAAATGAGCAGTAGTGTGTGGGATTCACTGTCCTTGCTTTGAAGGTTTGCTTGTCATTTGTCCTAGTCCTCAGATTTGCTCCCTGAAGCCTCCTGATCATGAGAGATATCATTCTGGGGCAGGTGACTTCACAGAATCTCGGTATGGGTGGACACCAAAGAGGAAGGGGCCTTAACATGCACTCCCTCCATTCTGGGACAAAGCAAGGTTCAGAAAGTCTGGGTAGTGTGCCAAAGGACACACAGATAGGCCCAAAACCTGGTCCAAGACCTCTCCATTCCTCGCCCTCTTTTATAGTGATGATATTTAAAACTTAAAATGATTTAGGCAGCAATTACTCTGGACCAGGTGTTTTTCCAGAAACAGTGCTCACACTGTCCATTTATCCAGGCAACATTATTCACACACCATCCGCTGCCTGCTGGACACCGGCTGACAAGAGACCAAGCCAGTCAGTTTCCTGCTCACACCGAGTTTCTGGTCTAGTACAGGGGCCCCAGAGCTCAGCCACCAGACCTGGGCCCTGAGAAAGAAAGTCACACAAGATTATATGCTAGCAGACGGCAGTTTCAAACACCCGAGGGCGCAGGATGGCTCTAAACACCACACGCGAATGGTAATCTATTTTAATTCTCTTCGCAGCAGTTTGAGAGAGACTTGCGGCGTTATGCCACCCACGAGCGGAAGATGATGCTGGACAACCATGCTTTGTATGACAAGACCAAGGTAGCGTTTTCTTCCTGAGACGGGCTACTGGCCCTCACCCTTGATGAGATTTTTACTAAATTTACTTATTTATCTTATAGTGGGAGAGATGAGTGCACATATGCCATGCTCTGCATGTGGAGGCCAGGGGAGCCAGTTCTGGCCTACTGTGTAGGTTCTGGGTATCGAACTCAGGTCCTCAGCCTTGGCAGAAAGCACCTTTACCTACCCCATCCTCATTCCAGCCCAAGCTGATTTTAGTGTCCAGGTTTGCTTCTCTTTGCTACAAATGTTCTGTTCTCTGCAGAGAGATCAGAAAGCGCTCCTCAAATGATAGTCCCCACCTGGCCCAGGATTCAACTCTGGAGTTCCTGGCTCAATGAGTGAGCTGATGGGCCTCCAGGGCCAGCACAGAGGTGGCCAGAATTGACATGACTATATTCCTGGTATTTACAGCCATTTACTCCAATGAAAGTCAAGGCTCACCATGAATCCCAAATGTTACAGGAATCCCCATCCAATGCAATCAAGCTCTGAGTGGGTCATTAACCAGCATCGCCTACAGTAGAGCAGGACGCCACCAAGCCTCAGTCACTAACCACGGGGGACTCACTTGGCAGAGGCACCTTGTTCAACTCATGCCTAAGAACAGTGGCAAGTTACCATGTAACTGATAAAGGATTAACAATTCTATTGTCAAATCCATGAGCAAAAATATCTACTGTCCTTATAGTGGTCAAGGGCACCAAATTAGGTTTGGAGGGAGAAGAAGGCATGAGATTATTAGAAGTAAGAATCTGATCTCTGGTTGGGCGGTGGTGGCACACAACTTTAATCCCAGCACTTGGAAGGCAGAGGCAGGTAGGGCCCTGAGTTCCAGTCCAGCCTTGTTTACAGAGCGAGTTCCAGGACAGCCAGGGTCTTGAAAAAAAAGAATATGGTCTTGCCCCCAGAGATTTATTATAATTACCTCAAGTAAAAAGAAAAGGAAAGTGGGTAAAAATTGCTGTGCAATACCGGCTTCAGGTACAGCTGTGTCTGGGTGTTCAGTGGGTTTTCCAGAGTTGTTTCTTTGCTAGGAAAGATTTTCCTGTGATTCCCACCCATCTAGTTGTTCTAACAGGGAAGATCTTTTTTCTAATAGTTTTTGCATGGATTCTAACTGCTCAATGACCATGCTTGGGTTATGTGCTCCTCTATTAATCCATTGCCACAGTTCTGCTTGGCCAGGCTTGGGCTGTGTGTGCTTCTCCCTAGAGATGAGAGCACCCCCACTCTTTATGGATGGAGGGACAAGGGAATCCTCATAGAAATTCAAGGTACTTCTCACAGGGGAGGAGACAGCAGCATAACCTCAGAAATTGAGTGTGTAGGTGGAGGCAGAGTCATAGAGTTCAACTCAGGAGGGCTTGCAAGTGAACATGTAATCAATAATTCAGTGCGTGTCAGCTCTGGACCCAGGACTGTGCTGTGTATTAGAAGGTCCTCAGGGGAAGAAGTGCTTAGTCTTAAAGAGATCATGGGGTGGAACCTGGAGGGTGGGGCCTGTGGGCAGGTACGGAAGGCTGTAGAGCAGGCAGCACACACAGTAGCTTGCCGTTACCAGCAGTTTGTCCCTCTGCTGCACGTTAGAATAACCTAGAACTTTAAAAAGATTGACAACAAGAACTCTCTGGGGCCTTTCATTTCATTGGACTGGAATGTGGCTCAAGCTTCAGTGTATTTTATTGAGGAAAAAAGAGAAGAAACAAAAAGAGAAGAGACGAGAGGAAATGAGAAACCCCATCAAGTAGTTGCAGAGAACAGTCATGGTTAAGAATAGGAGTGTAGGCTGGGACAATGGCTTAGTGATTGAGAGCACTTGCTGCTGTCACAGAGGATCCGGCTTGATTCCCAGCACCCATGTGGTGGCTCCGATGCCCTTTTTTGGCCTCAGGCACCAGGCATCAATATGGCATATAGATGTTTGCATGAGCAAAACATCCATATGCACAAACATTTTAAAAATAGAAGAAACCAGTAGAGCTGGGGAGATGGTTCCGCTGTAAATGCCTGCCGTGCAAGCATGAGGACCTGAGCTCTGAGGCCACGTTAACGCCAGGAGAGGCGGGCATATCTGTAACTAGCCATTGGCAAGGCCAAGACAAGCAGATTCCTGCAGCTAGTCAGTCTAGTCAACTGTAAGCTCCCAGCTCAGTGAAAAACCCCGCCTCAACAACAACAACAAAAGCAAAATGTTAGAGGATGACATTATCCAGTGCTGACTGCTGTCCTCCACATGTAACACATGAATGCACATTCATTCCCACACATATGTGTCCACATACATAAACGTGCACGCACACACACATTCACTCACTCACACACACACACACACACACACACACACACACACACACGAATTAGAGACTCATAGGAAAACTGTCCATGTGTCATTTGCTGATTGGGGAGATTGTCACGGTTGTACCTTAATCCACATGTGTCATTTTCATGGATGAAAAAGTGTCAAGACTACAGGAAGCAGTAACTAGGGATGTTTGCTTGTTTGTTTGTTTGTGGTCTCACTCTGCAGCCCAGGCTCCTGCCTCTGCATCCCATGTGCTGGGTTCCAGGTGTGAGTCACCACACCCTGGTTCCCTCTAATCTTTTATATTCGGGAGCAGGGCTGGGTGTGTCAACTGTCACTCATTCTAACAAGGCAGCTGGAGGTGCTGATGCTGAAGGAAAATTCCTGAGTGTATGTGTTTCTCCTTACGCTTCCAGAGGGTGTTTCTTGAAGCGGACAGTGAAGAAGAGATCTTTGCCCATCTGGGGTTGGATTACATTGAACCATGGGAAAGAAATGCCTAAGAATGAGCTGTCGACATTGCTCTCTTCAGGTTAGACAAGCCGTGCTGTGTGTTAGCAAAAGATGGCTTAGGAAAGTCTAGGATTCTTTAAGCTCCCAATAATGCAGACAGCAAATGCATCATATGTATACTATGCATAGAGAATATTCTAAAGCCACTTTGGAGGCTTGGTAAGCCAGGACATGGCCATGGGTCACATTCTCAAGCCTGTCTGTCCCACTGCTGCATAGAATTCGTGGTCTGTTCTCTCAATAAAAATGGTATTGTCATTGGTGCTTCAATCAGAAGAGTGCATCAAAGCCCACCTAAGCCCCGTGTGTCTGGATCTCTGTATATCACCAATAAAAATGGGAAACAAAAGGCTGAAGTTTTCTTTGCTTTGTTCAGTTATTTTATTTGTAAACTCACATGGAACCGTGGGAGAGAAAGAGCTTCTGGTTGAATTCCCAAGGGCCACACAGGTGTAATTAGAGCAACCAAGGTTCCCGGGGGGGCGCGCTGTAGGTCCCTTCGGGAGTGCCTGGAGGCAGGGTGCTGACTCCTACTTGTCTTAGCTCTGCTCTGAGCTGGTTGCTTCCCTGACCATCACCGAACTGTATCAGAGATGCGTTCTCACTGCTCTCTCTTGGTCACAAAAGCAATTTCCTAAACCACAGCAGGAGAAAGCTCCCTTTCCCACCTGGAGCTCTCAGAGAGGCAGAGTGGGTTTCTTCATCTCAGCGCGCCCAAGGCAAGGAAGGCAGTGGAACGCGCCTCACCAATCCTTCCCCCTGCTTCCTCCAGGAGGGCACAGGCTAGACAGAGCCAGTGCCCCAAAGGGACCAAGATAATCCATCTGGGCCTGTCAGCCACCTGGCCAAGACACCACCCCTTTTAAGGTAGTTAGGAGATAGGAGGAATAATTGTACTTTTAAGGGGACTGTATACTACCTTCCCAGAAGCACACTTTCTGTGGAGTTGCTTATAGAGCCGATGTCACAGAGCTTTGCTGCACCTGCCTGCTTTGTGAAATTACTCAGAAGAGCCTAACTTATCCTTTGCAACAGGCCAGCTGGTGAATCAGACAGAGGCCTGACTAATCCCCCAAATCCAGATTTTTTCAAGTACCAGTTGGTGAAGGAAGACATGGAGGAAAGACAGAAGCAAGGCCGCACTGCTGTTTGAGTTTTCAGCATGGAGGACCCTCACTGCCCGCTACAGGGCAGGCACGGGTCTTTACAGAAAGTTCAGGAGCCCAAAGCACCAGACATCTGAGGGGAATCTGGCCAGCATCTGAGGGAAAGAAGGAGAAAAAAGAAAAGGGGAAGTGGCACCCTTAACGCAGGGAAAAAGAGCCACGGAAGGTTTGTAGGTTCATCAAACTGCCATTTATTTTTCAGCTGATTACAAAATAAGCTTTTGTACCAACAGAAATACAGAATCTTGCAATTTTAGTGAAAACAATTTGAAATAAAGGTTCTAAGCAATTGATTGTAAGTAGAATTAAAATAAATTATCTAAAACACGGTCATACCTCATTTAATCAATTACAAGGCTTACTGATATGTGTATTTCTTTTTTTATTTATTTAAAAAATTTAGTTTTGATCTTGAAGTGATTCCATTAAAATCAGGAATGAGCTAAGGCTGTCCCCACCCACTTTCAGTTTAATTGACTTTCATATTTAACAATTCTTTTTTATTTCTACTTTGCCTGATACTGCTTCCAAGGGAAATGATTAAAAAATTTTCAGAGAAAAAATATTTTTGATTTTACATACCAACCCCAGCTCCCCCTCCTGCCCCTTCTCCCACGCCCCCCACCTCCGCCACTTCCAACCCACCCTAGACTCCTCAGAGCGGGAGTCAACAAAGCCTGGCTTACCAAGCAGAGGCAGGACCACGCCTCCCCCATGTGATATGTGTATTGCAATCAGGCTCCACGGGTGCCCTCTAGGGTCAGTTTTATAAGCACAGAACTGAGGCTCTAGGTGACCAACGTTCTGGGCTGGAGCTGACACCTATATTTGTGGAAGCCACAGGCCACAGTCAGATCAGGGTCTCAGGGAGTCCAAGGTCCCTCCCCACCCGGTAAGAGAAGTTGATGTGCAGCATCCCTGGGCACGGCTGCTTGAAGGTGCCCAAATGAGCTTATCTAAGGATCTGGGCGCATGAAACACAGTTATTTTTCTTAATTTCAGATGGGCTTTGAAAGGCAGTTGTTACTGGGTGGTGGTCACTGGGTTTACAGAACCATTCCCTTTGTTCAAGAAATAGGATCACTTCTGAACATCCAGAGGCCCCGTGTGGGAAAAGATGGCTCCCGGGGATATCAAGGTGGCTCATGAAGATTGCAGATGTTCCCCGAGATGCCCTGGACCTCACCTCTCCCATTGTGAAGCATGGCCTGTCCAAGGCAGTGGCCATGCATCAGAAGGAGCTGTGACCACCTGGAAGCAAGTGGGGAAGTCAAAGCAAAGGCCTGTGCCACAAGCTGGAGAGGTGTGGCTACCACACTAACCCATCCCTTTGTTCCTGTGTTCATCGTTGGTCCTCCTTATCTCTCTCCCTCACAAACATCTTTTCTTTATGATACTAAACAAAATGCCTCATTGCAAAGAAAGTCACTAAAACATGAACATCAGCTTCATATTAGGTACTTCTCATTGCCATGATTAAAACCAACTTGAGGGTGGGAAGGTTTATTTTGGCTCACAATTTGGGGTGCAGTCCATCATAGCCGAGAAGGCATGGCGGCAGGATCATGCAACAGCTGGTCACACGTTTTATCTGTAGTCAGGAAGCAGAGGGTGATGAACTCTGTGTGCTCAACTTGAAGTGCCTTCTATTCAATCCAGAAACCCAGGCAATGGAATGGTGCTTCTCACATTTGTCAGATCTTCTTGTTCAGTTAAATCTTTCTGGAGGTGTGTTTCCATGGTGATTCTAAGTCCCACAAGCTGACAATGAAGATGAACCATCAAAGACGTCGATATCCTGAAGATTAATGTGTAACGCAGGTCTCTGTACTTGGAATTTAAACTTGGTTGACACACAAGGACAAATGATGTCCAAAGTTCAAGTGAGTAGACTGCTAGTGACAACCAGAGTTATTTTTAAATGCCAACAATTGGATTGCAGGCCATGGAGAAAGTTTGAAATCGATTTTTCCTTGTTGATTTTGTGACTATGGGTGACAAAAGCTGTACAACAGTCGTTTGACTTGATCAGACAAGGGCAAGGAAGAGGTGGGAAGAACGGGGGAGGAGTGGGAATGAATATGTCTCGTGTCTACTAAGTGGAAACACTTTCCTTTATTTCTTTTGTTATTTTTCCAGTGCTCAAATGAAGGACATTTTATAAAACGTGAAAGAATCTTGGGAAATGTAGGTGACGTCGCCAGAATGCTCACAGCTGCTCAGTGGCAGGTCTGACTCAGATGTCCCTCTCCCCTTCTCTGCTGTGTGACATGGTCTAGCCACATGCCTCCCTGTGTCGGGGCTGGGTGGCTCTGTGTGAGCTTTACCCTGAGATAGTAAGAAGGAAGAAATGGCTTCTTTCACAAGTCTTCTGTGTCACTCATGTCCTAACTTGTGTCAAGCTGGCTTTAACCAACGCACCCAGAAAAGCCAACTCCTGTAGCCTTGTTTATTTATTGTTTTAGGATGAGAGATGGAGCAGACAGAGGAGAAGGCAGGACACTCAGAAGCCACGCCAATTTACCACAAAGCAAACATCTCTAGATTAAGAAAGAAGACCAAGTGGGCTCATCTGAATGCAGAGCAACTCACCTGGGCTGCTCTGATGACTAAACTGCCGGGTCCGAGGTTGGATGGACCTTGCTGCAGCATCCCCTAATGAGGAGAAGCAACCCAGACACACCCCAGGTCTATAAATGAAATGTTTTCGGGATGGGAGGCAGCTGGCTCCTTGCCTCTCTAAGCACGGTTCCCAAGCACAGATCCTGGGGTTGCCAGCCCTGTTCAGCCTGAGTCAGCTGTCAAAGCTACATCATTCTAGGCTCAGTCTTGGCACAAGCCACCACAGCCCTCTCCTTCTCTCTGTTTCTTCAGGAGGACGGTAGGTGTCAGGCAGGGGCTCCTCATGTCCAGAGACTGTCGTCACATATATGTGGCCTTCGGCACCTCGTGGGTCCATTTCATGTGTGGGTGACCGCCTAGGATTCTTGAGAAAACAGATTTTTAAAGATAATATAGGAGAGACTTCAATTTCTGACCAAGATGAACTCAAACAACCATATTGACCCTTCCAATGGAAACAGCCAAAAACCAGGCCAAACATTTGAAACAATGGTTGGCAAGATAGAGGGAATCAGGAGACTAGAGACACTGGCTCTTGAGGGGCCAGAAATGAGTGGTGTCTACAGTTGCCTGAGCTTACTGCCTCCAAGGGTTTTTTATTGCCACACAACTCTGACTATTGTTAACACAGTGTCTCAAGTTTTCATCTTTATAGTCACAAAGTGTGGTTCTGCAGATTTTTATAAAGTTGGGTATTGCTTTTTGATCAAACTGACTATCTCTGCCTTGTAATTGGAGCTGTTTAGGTCATTTACATCTAAAGTGATCATTGATATAGTTGGGTTCAAGCCTTCTATCTTGCTTTTCTTTTTCATTTTTTCTACGTGTTCATTCTTTTAAAAGATTTATTTATTTATTTGTTATAGTGTTCTGCCTGCATGTATACCTGCAAGCCAGAAGAGGGCACCAAATCTCATTATAGATGGTTGTGAGCCATCATGTGGTTTCTGAGAGTTGAACTCAAGACCTCTGGAAAAACAGTCAGTGCTCTTAACTGCTGAGCCATCTCTCCAGCCCTACATATTCATTTTAATTAGTTTTCTCGTTTTATTCCCTATAAACTTTAGAATCTTACTAAGCTTATTGAGAAATGTGTTGGGATTTACATCACAATTGTATTTACTTATTTTAATTTAAAAGTTTTTATTTGTATAAGTGTTTTGCCTAAATGTGCATGCCTGGTATCTGAGACAGTCAGAAGGGTGCAGATGCCCTAGAATTAGTTATAGACCATTGTGAGCCGTCATACGGGTGCTGGGAACTGAACCCAGGTCTTCTTTTTTAAAAAAAAAGTACTTTTAAGTACTTTTAACTGCTCTCTAGCTCCATAATTACATCCATAATGACATACTAAAAGTATCACAAATTTGACATCTGTATAATGTTGAGTCTTTCTTTCCAGAGCCATAGTATATAACCATCATAACTTAGCTATTGTTGAATGCTTTTTATTGAAGTTTTATATATCTATAACAGGATTAGACATTTTATCAGATTTGTTTTTAGCATTCTATGCATTTTATTACCACTGTAAAATAGGACTTTATAAAATTCCTTTTTCTAACTGGTAGGTCTTGATATTAAAAAAATGCACATTTCTTTTGGGTGTTGGGTTTTTTTTCCAGTGTTGGATCTCAAGCCTAGGCTTTGCTTGTGCTCAGAGAATGCTCTACCTCTAAGCTAAATAATCTGTATTGTTTTTATATGCATAAATTTATTTGACTACTTTGCTACTAACCTATGTGTAGATTATTAATTTTTCTGTGTTGAAAGGTATATATGATCTGAAAACTATAATTTTACTTCTTCCTTCTCAATGTTATGTTTGCTTTTTCTTATTCCATTGTGTTGGTTAGGTTCTAAACTCCAGTGCTAAATATAAGCAATGAACATTTTTTTATTTATTTTTTTATCTTAAAGACATATTCCCTTAGGTATCCCTTTTCAAGTTAAGTTCCTATTCTATCTCACCTTTGAAAGTCCTTATCAGGGACTGGGGAGAAATGATGCCTGCTATGCAAATGTAAGTTTTGAATACTCAGAACTGACGTAAAAAGCAGACATATAGTGCAAGCACTATATAGTATATGTAATATATAATATGTAATATATTAATATATAATCCAGCACTCTCACAGGAAGATGGGGACAGAGACAGGAGAATCCCTGGAAGCACACACACATTGTACACACACACAAATAAATAAATAAGAATAAAAAGCTCTTATCACAAGTGATTTACCTTTTTAAAAACCCTTTTCTCCTATTAATGTGTCCATACATCTGTTTCTTTTGCCAACTGAATAAATTATATTCAATTGATTTTCTTTTTTGCTGTTGTTGTTTTAATTTTCCGTGCTAGACACAGAATCCAGTGACTTTATGCGCTAGGTCATCATTTTACCACTGAGCTTCAGTCTAACCCCCAATTTTCTAATGCTAAATCAACTTTGAATTCCTGTCTGGTCAGTAAAGGCACACTGCCCACCTTCTTTGTGATGTCGCAGTGTATAATCTCCCTTCCAAGGGTCTCACATGGCCTCTTTGCGCTGTCTAAAATCCTTTTAGCCAAGTGTGGGTTATAACGAAGAGTTCTTACCTCGGATATCTTGGGATTGTCGTAGAGTTCTGAAATTTCACATGGTCTCTCACTTTCCTAAAATGGTTAAAAATAAAAAATAACTAGTGAAGGGCCATAGCTGTAGCCATTCGAGTCTTTGTGTTTTAAACCACAGTGCACTTTAGAATTGCCAGAAGGTTCTAAAACACAACAAACATGCAGACAAGAGCCTACCTCGAGCTAAATGAACAGACTCAAGAAGCATCACTACTCAGAAACAGTCCAAAGCTGGCATCATGAAGAAGTGAGCAGGAGGCGAGATGAACAGGATTGGCCATGAGTCCACAACTGTGTTCTCTGTGCTCTACTTTCTCATTAACACACACCTAAAGTTACAGTAATTCCCCCCACACGTGCGCATGCAGAGGTGCCCAGCAGCCAACTGGGACCTTAAGATGCCAATGGAAATTCCAGAAGCTGAAAGTTTTAAGCTTCCGTTTCGAATAGGGTGACAAAAACTTGACCCACCCTACCTTGTCCTATCCCCTCGCTCAGTGTATCCATGCTGCATAGGATATCAGGCCTGTGACAGTTGACAGAGAGGCCAAGTGACTTCATTCACATTTATTGTTCTATCTTAAGTCAATTTCACTATTAATTAAGAATGTTAATCTTTCAGTGTGACTGACTTATTGTTATCATATTTTTGTGCAAGGTGTCCATATGCAGTTCAGTACACCTCACAGTATCAAGTGACTACTAAGCAGTCTTGAAATGTATCCTTTGTGGATGATGTTCAGGGGGACTATATACACAATAAAAACATGTGTTGGCTTGGGAGTGCAACTCAGTGGTGGAGTACAAGTCTAGCATATGGGAAAGGTCCAGGATTTGAGCCCCACTACCAAGAGCAATCAAACAAAGCCCCTCCGCAGTGCTTTTCAAACAATTGCACAGTTCTATCACCAGAAATCCCTTCATTTATTTTGTTTTGTTTTATGTGTTAGGATGTCGGCCTGCATGTATGTCTGTGTACCACATCCGTTTGGGAGCCAGAAAACTGTGTTGGATCCCTTGGCACTAAAGTAACAAGTGGTTGTGAGCCACTGTGTGGATGCTGGAAATTGAATCCAGGTCCTCTGGGAGAGCAATCAGGGCTCTTAACCACTGAGCCATCTCTCCAGCCCCAGAAATTCCTGATTTAATTAACTTAGTAGCTGATATATTTTAGCCTTCTGAAAGTTAAGAAACTATTGCCTAAATAAACAATGCCACCAACAACCATAGTACTGCTTGATGTATGTCCAGTTTACAGCTTGCTAATACATATCTCCACATGCTGTAGTGGTTTATATCACCCATTATCTCATGCCATCCTTACAACTGCCCCACCTCTTAAAATAGGCAGTGTTTACTTTTATTATTGTTGTTTGTGATGCTGGGGTTGAATCTCATAGCCTTGCACATACCAGGTGTGCGTACTGTGTCATGAGTTGCACCCCCAGCCTGAGAGGAGAGCTTCATGACACCTGTTAAAGACTTGAACTAACCAAGGGATAGAAAATGTTGAGTCACTTGTCCAGGTTCACATAAATCATACAGTTCAGAGGCAGGATTAGAACCAGGCTTTCTATCTTCCCGTGTTAATATCTACCAGTATGAAAACAACAATGATCGTTCATGAGTAGAGAGTGAAGTCAGAACCCAGAGGCTATTTCCACAGGTATATCATACTGCGAAACCTTGTTGGGTATGGATCTAGGCGACCATGCATGGTCCCCAGAGCAAATCTGACACAGGTATGTGATGTTAGGGAGTCCATGCTTAGACACAGGAATGGGCAGGGTTTCATAGACACTTCGGCATTTCTTTGTCTCTAATTTTCCCTCATTTTCTTACTATCCAATGATGAAACGTGTGCCCTTTCCTCCCTCGGTGTAGATAACACCCCACCCGACAGACATATGTTTGCATCAATCATCTCCCTCCCTTCCTATTTTTTGCCATTCCAAATGTCATCTTATTACCAGAGATTTGTTCAAGCGACCAGAGAGTTATATGCAAATCAGCTCTGCCTGAGTCTACTTACAGAGGACATTTCAGTCCAGAAACATCTACCTCCTTGTCCTCAGAAACAACACAGATCCTAGGTTCTGTCATGCTTAGCCCAGGCAGAGGCCAGCTCACTGAGATACTGATTCAAGCTACACATTCACACCCAAAGAAGCAGTGATCACCTCAACGGGCTCATCGATGCTTCTTCTTCGCTGAATCAAAGTAAACAGCAAGGCCACCAGCAGGGCTGTGGCCAGCAGGGATGGGATTCCAGCTGCTAGTCCAATAGAGGGACCACAGTCCTGGCACAGAGAGATAAAGCCAAGTCAGGGAAGCCCAAATTCTTCAAGAATAGAAGATGCTTTCGGTGATTAAAAACAAACAACAGCATGCATGGGCCCTGGATGCACTGGAGAAATGAAATATTTCAAAGATACTTGAAGTGTCTACGACTGGTGAATTTGCATAGTTTGAATCTGTTTGGGACGGTGATCATCTATTAGAAAAGTGGACAACTGATTTAAGCAGGAGCCCCAGGGAGCAGAAGCAGAAGCATCCTTTACATCCTACCAGAAGAAAAGCCAAGGTACCGTTCAGAGCCTTGGGTAGATGCCATGCTCACATTCAGTCTGGGAAAGTCACTTCTGTGCTTTGTAGACTCACAACTAGTGAGAGCGCAGAGAACAGGTGTGTGTGGAGTGCTCAGTGGTGAGTAGAGTTTCTACATTGTGCCTCCTTCACTAAGGCTCAAGGAGTTTCAGAAGAGTAGGGAGGAAAGGAAGTCAAGGAAGACCAGGGTGGCAAGGAGCTCCCACCACTAGCTGAGGAGACAGCGACAGCTGATGGCGATTAGCAGAGGGAGGGTCAGTTTCCTTTAGAGGTTTGGGCTCTGGTAGGTTGGCCCTGCTCCAGCGGATGGCTTAAAAAACTATGTGCACAAGGGCAACACAAATTGGATTCAGCTGGTTATTAAAAAAGAAAAAACAGGGGCATGAAGCTTCAAGGGTGACTTAGGGGAATTTGAGGACAGCTGGAGTTAAGAGTGGGGAGTGACTACAGTTGAAATGCAGTGTCTATGTGCATGGAATTCTAAAAGAATAAATAAAAATATTGTATTAAATAGAATAACATATATAGAGAGAAAGCAAGAAGTCGGTGCTACTGGTATTTCCTACGTCATCTATTATGACTTTTTGTTGTTGTTGCTGTTTGGTTTAGTTTGGTTTGGTTTTTCGAGACAGAGCTTCTCTGTATTGCTTTGGAGCCTGTCCTGGAACTCGCTCTGTAGACCAGGCTGGCCTCAAACTCACAGAGATCCACCTGCCTCTGCCTCTTGAGAGCTGAGACCAAAGGCGTGCACCATCAATGCCTGTCTCTGATGTAGTTTTGAAAAATGTTATATCAAATGAATTAACCAGTTTTCAAATGTTCATCTTGATCTGAATAGTAACAGTCATATTTGTATCCCCACAAGGTTTCAGGTTTGCAGATTTTTTTCTGGAAATACTAAAGACAATATGCAAATCCCTATAAATATGTAACAAATAGAACACTGGGTTCCATAGTAGGGTGTGATTTTATAAAGGGTGGAAATCCATGTCACAAATATATAGACTGAAGGCTGTTTGCAGAATGACATTTCACACATATAACTGATGATCACATCAAGACCTAGCATGCTCCCCAGTCCCCACATGTGATCATTATCCTGAAGTCTGTCCCTGTAGATAGGTTTTGTCTGGCTTCCAACATACAGACACAAACACAAGTATGGACACTTATATGCCTGACTGCTTTTCTCCATGCTCTGTGAATTTGCCTGTGTGTATGTATGTTTGTGTGTTTTAATGTTTATTTATTTTAGCGTGTGTGTGTGTGTATGTATGTTTGTGTGTTTTAATGTTTATTTATTTTAGCGTGTGTGTGTGTGTATGTTTGTGTGTTTTAATGTTTATTTTAGCGTGTGTGTGTGTGTGTGTGTGTGTGTGTGTGTGTGTGTGTGTGTGTGAGAGAGAGAGAGAGAGAAGAGGGCCCAAGATTCTCAAGAACTAGGTTACGGGCAGTTGTGAGCTACTGTGTTGGTGCTGGGAATTGAACAGAGGTCTTAATGTAAGTACTCGTAACTGCTTAGCCATCTCTCTGGTCCCATGGCCTGTGGTTTTACACTCTCTCTCTCTCTTGTTTTGGAGTAGGGGTGGCAATAGGAATAATTACTGAGTCTAGTTCTGGGCATGGCAACCGTTCACATGTCAAACATTAACCCTAAGACAGATGCAAGTGATAGGGAGAGCATTGGTACCGCCATAGGTGACAGAACCAAAGCGGGGTCATTGAAGTGGACACTTACATTGGCTTTGGCACTCGTGGCAAGTGGAGAGGAAGTCTGTGTGAAAAGAGAATATGCAATGTAAGAAAAGAAAATACACAGAGCATTCACCATGCAAAGCATCCTGTCAACGGTGGAGCCGCCTTTCCACTAAACGATTAGTAACAGCAACTGCAGAGACTTGTGTGAGCGCTTCCCAGATAAGGATTAGAGTGAAATTAGGCTATGAGGGAAACAAATTCCAAAAGTCAAATGATGCCTTCACTATCTACCTGGTGAATCTGCCATAACACATTCTACATCTCCTGTCCCTAGCCTTCATGCTGGGGCCAGAAGACCAGCCTACTTTTCCCCACTACAAGAAAATATAAGCACTGCGGTAAGGCTTCCTCAGGAGGCTTCTTAAGGAAGCCATGCCTGCTTCCAAACATAGAGTAGAGCAATGGCTTCTGTTGATCGTCCACAGGCCTGGGATGAGCCCACACTGAAGCACACTTTCTGGTCCACGTTTCACTTGAGGAAGGAGGGGTGCTTCATGTCACCCCTGTCTGAGGTAGTTCAAGTGCATCTCTGGGAGCAATGCTTTATACAAGCAACTATGTTATGTGGCCTCATCCTGGGCCCTGGGGGCTCAGTGGTAGGATGGGTACCAGCTCAGTGTGCATGAGATTCCTAGTACCACCAACAGAGCTAAAATGGTCGCAATTGGGGGCTTACTCTGCCTGCAGTGGGATGCTCCTTCCTCTGCCCAGAAGCCTCAGGGTCTCATCTCATCTCTTCGTCTAAAATAAGGGAAACAGTGGCTGGGGGTGGGGGTGGCTCAGTGGCTAAGTTTTAGGACCAGAATTCAAATCCCCAGAACTCATACAAATGCCCGGTGGGAGTCACAATCTTCCTGTAATTTCAGGTTCAGAAGGCAGAGATGGGATTCCTAAAGCAAGACTAGCCATAGCCCACCAGTAGGGTCTGGGTTTGATTGGGAGACCCAGCGTCACTGAACAGAATGGAGGAGTCATGGAGGATGATTCCTAACACCAACCGTGGGCCTCCACACGCACATAAATGTTCTTGCACACACACGTGCAAAACATGCATAACATGAAGGCAAACCTCATATACATGCCTGGAAATGGAAGAAGAAAACTAAGTAAAACAGGGGCAGTAATAGCTGTCTCTGGGGGCTTTAGGGATCGAATAAGCACCACAATCATGACCTTATGTTCACAGCACTAATCAGGTCGGTTTTAATTTAACTGTCTCGGCTACCTTGACAGTCGAAATGGCATCTCTTTTACAGTTAACATCCGTGAGAAAGGAGGAACAGACCTCAGAGAGCCTTCACTACTCAGAACCACGTCTGCACGGGTGAGCCCTGAACTTGAGCATTTGAACTTCAGGACAGACCTCTTTCCTAGTGAGTTCCCATCAGGGACGTTGGCAGTGCTGCCTGTTCTGTAGGTGGCCATTTTCACATAAACATGACCCCACACCCTGGCATATCACTGGGGTCCTGCATCAGCGTAAAGTATTGTCTTTCTGAGGATGCCAGCAAGGGTCAACCGTTATTTCAGGTAAGGTGTTCTGTCATCAAAGTACAGAAATTTGCTGAGGCTGGCTAGGGCAAAAAATAAAAACGTATCAGGCATAGTGGACACATGCCTTTAATCTCAGCACTTGGAAGACAGAGGCAGTGTATGTGTGTGTGTGTGTGTGAGAGAGAGAGAGAGAGAGAGAGAGAGAGAGAGAGAGAGAGAGAGAGAGAGAGAGAGAGAGAGAGAGAGAGAGGTAGGAGGGGGAGCTTGGGTGAGGCTTCTCTCCCTCCATCTCTCCTAGGCAGCATGACTGTCTTCCTGTTTACTTCCTGTTTCTCCTGGTGGGATTTCTGCTCTCATGAGCACCTGTCAATTGCACCCGTTGTGTGCCAGGCCGCCCGAATCCCTTCCCCAGACTGACCCACTCACACCTCACAGCACCCAGTGAGGCAGGATCAACATGGCCTCCGTTTTACAGATGAGAAGAACAAGGCACAGGGAAGGGAGGGGACTTGTGTAAGGTAACACAGCCCTAGGTTACAGACAGCAGTAACCTTACCCACTGAAAATGCTCATCCCTGATTGGCCTAACCACTCTCTTCCCAGACCCCATACTTAGGAAGTGATCTCAAACACACACGCAGCCGGACACAGTGGCACATACACTGAGGAGGTGAAGGTAGGGGCGCTGCAGGCTCAAGGCCAATCAGAGCTACACTGGGAGTCCTTATCTCAAAAAAGGAAACCACAGACAAGTCTGCTCTGTAATGATGTTCATCACACAGCTACTCCTGTCTGGAATCATTACATAAAACAAATCTCTTGAAGAAATAACGGACAGCTATCCTCAGTTGTGCTTACAAGGACTGATGGGAAATATTTAAGGCACAAAATTACACATAGAGTAAGAGCACACATTGGGAAGAACACCTCAGAGAGCCTCTAAAGTCAGACAGCAGGGGGCGCTGTGCAGGTATTTTCTGCTGATGGGAATTTAGGAATTTAATTTTCTTTTTCAAAATGTACTTATAGTTTTTAAAGATTAAAAAGAAAATATTGCTCTCCTTGGGGACAGAGACATGGCTTAGTGGGTAGGGAGCTTGCTGCAAAGCCTCATGGCCTGAGTTCAATCCCTGAACCCAAATGATGGAAGGAGAGGATGGCTCCCTTCAGCAAGTTGTTCACACATGCAATGGTACATGTGTGCCCATACCCCAATACACGCCGCACGGGGGTAATTTACAATACACACCGCACGGGGGTAATTTACAATACACACCACGTGGGGGTAATTTACAATACACACCGCACGGGGGTAATTTACAATACACACCACGTGGGGGTAATTTACAATACACACCACGTGGGGGTAATTTACAATACACACCACGTGGGGGTAATTTACAATACACACCGCACGGGGGTATTTACATTCAAACAAACGCTGCTCTCAGAACAGGCTTTATCACGATACTCGCAGCGTGTGCGGGAGAGAGTTCCTGCGTCCCCACTGTAAGCTCTACCCTGACCTCCCACTCCCTGGAGATGGGGGTCTGACCACTCTACTTACCGTATTCACTGGCAGTGTGAAATTCAGTGAGAAACTCTGCAAGAGAGAAAGACACTTTAAAACTCCCAGGAACGGTTAGCGGCCTCCCGAACCTCTGCCTCCAAGCCTGGCAGAGGTGAACTTAACCCAGAGACGGACTTCACCGGCGCATCTCAGTTCCCAGTGTCAGCCTAGGAACACAGTCAGTGCAGGAGCCCCGGAGAGCGGAGAGCTGTGCCAATGGCTGTGGGCTTTCCTTTTCCCCCTCCAGCTCCCCAGCCACGACTAGGCTGGGGGTCTCATCAAAATACTGGAAATTGTTTTTTCTCAGAATGCCTGTCAAGGGGAGAACTGAGAATTTAGAAGTGCTCAGGAATATTTTCAGCTTAAAGCAGATCAAATCCCCAAAAGGCTATGACGTAACCCCTGACTAGTAACCACCTTCTCAGGGGAGTTAACCAGAGAGAGAGGAGGCTGCAGGTTTTACCAAGACTGAGGGGAGGCTCAGGCCATGAGCTGAAACGGTCAGGGTAACGGGGAGCTGGGCTTACCCCTGTCTCCCTGGGTCTCCCTCTACACCTGGCTTATCCCTCCCCATTGTGTGTAATCAACACACAAACTTTCTACCCCACAGCATACCAAGTTTCCTGCACACACCTCTTATCAGGGTAAGGTCCTGCCAAGGCCTCTGGTGGCTCCTTTCTGCTCCCTCATCCCTGTCCATCATTCCAGTTTGGGCTGACTGGCACATCTGTGCAGGGTGCTCCATCAAGTCCTTGCCCTGCTGCTGGAAGCAGTCGGTGGACCCTGCTATGGCTTAGCCAGGGGCCTTCCCTGGCCCTGTTTGCTTCTTCTCCCTGCCTCCTGGACTTTCACCCATCTTTATTCCTGGTTCCTGGCTGGGCCCTCATCTAGTCCCATCTCCTGACATCCTGGCTCCTCCTGCCCCCAGCTCTTGATCTCCCCTACAGCCCCCCCCAGACTGGGTCTGTCACTCAATCAGCAACACATTTGCTAAATTTTAACACTAAATGTTTTCTGACAGTAGAAATACTGGGGTGGGAGCAGAGAGATGATTCAGCAGATAAAAGTACTTGGCACACAAGCCTGATGACCTGAGTTCCATCCCTGAGACCCACATTAAAGAAAAGGCGAGAACCAACTCCACTAAGTTGTTCTCTGACCCACATACACCTGCCATGGCATGGGCACACCTCCTTCCCAAAGATAGATATAACAAAAAAATTAAAGCATCCAAACGAATGAGAACATATTAGGCCTGAAATGCCTCAAAGGTCTATTTTATACCCCAGTACTTCATTGCAAGGCATAGAAGAGAAAGACCCAGGGACTTGTGGGAAGTCATGTCAGGAACAGGTTGGGACAGCTGGAACTCCTTGCAGCTTATCCTGGTCCTGGTACCAAATTCAGCCCAAGGCTAGATCCAGATCAGAGAACCCAAGGTCGGGCACAGGTCACACAGCCCTGCCTGTGAAAAACTAAGAAAACCCAATCATCTTGGGGCTGGAAGTCACAGGGGCTAAAGAATGGGAAAATCCTTGGAGAATAGAAAGGGTTTTAAGACCCTATAACCTATACCTCTCCTGACTCCACCCTAAAGAGTACATCCTTTATTAAGACAGCCCCTCGTACATCACAACAGTGACTTTGCCCACTGCTCTGCCACTTAGTAACAGTTTGTTTTCCCAAGCCTATGAATGGGTCATCACACAGCTAAGTCAGCTGTCATCAGACCCGAATCCTCCGGTGACATTTCCCTACCACAACACAGGGCTTCCCTGCAACCCCTCAGTTTCTGCAGGTGAGTCAGTGCACCTATTCTTCTGACAACTAGAGCCTGGATGGTCTCTGGGACTCTCAGATCATGGTCTCCTTGCCCAAAGGCTCCAACCACTGCCTTTCACGCTGACACTACCCGAGCCTACAGGTGTCCCAAGAGCAATTGCTGAGCACTATGGTGTATGCAGCTGTACAGACTTATCTCATCAGTGATTATGTCAGGGGCTACAGACAAAGATTCCTTTGGGAAGCAACAAATGGGTCTTTGCATGCATTGTTTATCAACATTCAGATGACGAAGGTTTTGGCCAATTTCAGAAAGACTTTCATATTTTGTAGAAACACAGGGCCATGCTGTTATGGAGAGGAAAGGATGGCACAGTGCCCTCTAGAGATGCAGCTGGGTGGGGTGAAGTAACCCTGGGCCCTGGGCCACACGATCTAGGTTTTGGTACAACCTTAGCCACTTTGAAGTTGTATGGTCTTGGAGAAGACAAATTTTCTTGTCTCCATATGCCCACAGGCCCTCTATCATGCCAGGCCCAGTTTTTCCATTCTGGAAATGGGACACTGTTCACTTGTCCTGCTCACTTCCCAGGAAAATCTCAAGGATACACTGTCTGTGGCAGCTCCTTCCAACCTGCAAGTGTTCTGGGCATGATGGGACTCACACAAGGCCATGTTCTTTAACATGGCATGGGGAAGCCCCTCAGCATGAGCTTGTTAGATAGAACTGTTAGCATCAAGCAGCCACAGCCCAAGGGACGGCATTGTGGATCACTGTCACATCTATAGAATGTTTCTGAGGGATACTTTGCCTCTTCTGAGGCTGAGTATCCCTCATGCGTTTGAGTCTTATGAGGGGGAAGTGTGAAAGGACAGTTACTGCCATTGACTTTGTTCTGATGACTTCCCATAAGGACAGAGCTATCATCCCTGTAGCCCGGGTTTGGAAACCTAGACCAAAGTGGGTTTCCTTCTAGAGGTCAGTAGTAAATATTCACAGGTTTTCCTAACTCCCATTGTTTCTCATCACTTCTCTTTAAATTCTAAGTGAGATTTGCCATAGTTGTGTATGGCATGCCTCCTTCAGCATGATGCTCTCTAAGCCCTCAAGGTTGTGGCAAACCTCAGGATCTCCTCTATAAGGACTGGGTAATATTCAGCCAAGAACATCATACACATACATATGTACAGACACACACATATACATTGAATGTATATTTAGTATACGCATACACATGTACACACACACACATACATTGAATGTATATTTAGTATACGTGCTCCACCACTCTTTAGTCCCTCATTCATTAGCAGTCACCTGGGTTATTTTCAGAAAAGCTCACAAAGTTTAGTGGTATCTAACCAGAGATTCTTCTAGTTCACAAATTACTTTAGCATACACTTCAACAACTTGATCTTGGTTCAGAATGACTCTGAACTCATCATATTAATGAGAGAGTTGACCCCTCATCTCAACTCAACCCATCTGAGACACTCTGCTGAAACAAATCTAATTTCCAGAAACAAGGTGCTAAATAAGCACGATTTGGCCCGAGTTTGACTTCTACTTCTTACTTTGTGATTTTCCTCCTAGAATAAGTTAAAAACCCAAAACTATAAATTATAAACTAATATTTAAACCAAAGCCATCTTAACTTTCCAATTGTACATAATATTTATTATACGTTATAATGTTATTACATACTTTTATGTTATATATTATACAAGGCCATTTTCATACAAACATGTAATGCACTTTGAGCATGCCCCTGCCACACCACTTCCAGAAAGTTCTACTTCTACTTTCAAGTTTCTCTCCTCTCTCTCACTCTACCTTTCTCTCTATATAAACATATATAACCAGTATATAAATCACTCATATATTTGTATGTATGTATATGCTCACATAAATATACATTCATATTTATATACACTCATGTATATATATATGAGTGATTTTATGCATCTAAAAAGTCTAGGACTTGCACACAGAAAAAAAGGAAACCATAGAAGATTTCCTTCCTGGTTGAGCAAAGTTCCCCTGGGTGAGTCACAGCAAACATGTATCATACATCAGTAAAAAAATGGTCCACGCTGCTGAGAAAGCAGCAGGAAGAAGCTGGACAAGTAAAGATGAGATCGCTGATCTGAACCCAAGGCCTCCATCAGGAAACAAAGGGAGCTCAAACACCTCCCCTGCATCCTGGTTGTGTGGGAGACTGAACAAGAAAGGCCTCACATCAAATAAAAGTTGAGACCTGCACATATGCAATGAAATTTTTTAAGTAGTATTTTGTACCTAGGGAAAAAAATTAAAAGCCAGGTTCCAGAACTTCACTGTAGTAAAGGTACAGTTACAGGTATTGAACCGGGATACTTGAGCCTTCATGTCTTGGAACTGGCTTACAGTGAGGGAAAGAAAGGCCAGTGAGGAAGATGCAACTCTTACTCACCATCTCTAACAGGCTCCCTTGCAAGCTTCTCTGTCACTGCTGCTGCCGGCCAGTGTCGCCCATGTGTAGGACACCGGCCAGGAATGCCGGAGAGGCAGGGTTAGAAAGTCCCAGGAAAGCCCTTGCCGTGCCATGTATGGTCAGGGGAGTAGCCAAGCCCTCGGCTGCTGAGCTTCTGTCCCCTGCACACTGCACGTGGCTCGGGCTGTCCTTCTCTTTGTCTTCATTTTCTGTCCTCTTTACTTCACAGCAAAGAAGCCACAAGCTAGCGTGAGGTCGGAGCTCTGGCAGCTGGCAGCTCATTAGAAACAGTGGATGACAGGGCTGGAGAGACAGCCCGGTAGCTGAGATCACACACTGCTCTTGCAGAGGTCTGGAGTTCAGTTCTTAGCATTTCCTTTAGACAGCTCACAATACTGAAACTACAGTTCCACTACAGTTCCAGGGGATCCTATGCCTTCTTCTGACCTCTGTGGACACTGACACACAGCACACAGCACACTCGTGTGTGTGTGTGTGCACTCACACACACATAGACACAGATGCAGTGAAATAAATATTTTTTCAAGGACAAATAGACGGAGGTTGACCCCCAGCTGACAGGCATCACACTAAACACACTCCCATCTGTGACATGGGTATCAGCAGAAGGCATGGCTGCATGAGAGGCGCTGAGAGCACTTTGTGTGAGGCAGGGCTGTGGCTACCACAGTGGACAACACACCAGTGGTCCATGCCAGCCTCCAGCTTTCTGTCCTTGCATCTTGAGTGCTAGTCTCTTCGAGCTGAGGCTGCTTTCAATAGCTTATGATTTCTGTCATGAGTTTGCTTCTTAAAATAGTGAGTTGTAGGGCTGGAGAGATAGCTCAGTCTGTAGAGTGCCTGCCAAGTACTGAAGGGAGGGGGAGGCAGGGAGAGGTGATTCCCTACCTCCCTGGAACTCACTGGCCGGCCGGCCTAGCTCAACTGATCAACCCCAGATTCAGTTAAGAGACTCCCCCTCAAAAACTAAGGTGCAGAGGGATAGAGGAGGTCAACACCACATCAACATTGACCTCTAGCCTCCACACACGCGCACACACACACACACACACACACACACAAGAACATGCACCGCATACATACAAGCACACAAAAATAGTGAGCTACTAAGAAAAAAGAACTGTAATAAATAGTCTGATCACTTCATCAAAGCCACCAAGAGCGGACACTAGTGTGAGGTAAAGAGAAGAAACGCTGAAGTGGTCGGCAGGGCTGGAGCAGGCCTGGTGGGACACAGACCTGTAGGCGTGGCATACGGGCACACTCCAGCTTGGTGTGCGCTGAGCATCTCAGGCTGGTGTGAACACAGGCGTAGACCGCAGGCCAGGCGAGCACGCAGAGCAGTTTCACGTGACACTGGCGGACCTGGAGTGTCTTCCATTAGGAAGGCTTTCATCCCATCTGCATACTCAATCCCATAGGTGCTTAGAACATTTTCCAGTGCCAAGACCCTACATTCAGAGGCTCTGATTCCAATAACCAGTCAGGTCAGGGTGTTTCCAAGATGCTAATGAATAGTGAGGGGCGACAGTCACTGTTGTCATCAGTCACCTGAAATGTGCCAGGCAATGGATCCCTGTACTGGACAAGACCTGTGTGGCCTCTGTTTCTGGAGCTTCCAGTTCCCAAGGTGACAGTTGTAGATAGACTTATTTTGAGCTACCCAAATAATGACACAGAGATTTATTATTAATTATGAAATCTTGATTTTAGCTTAGGTTTGTCCCCAGCTAGCTTTTTTTTTTTTCGTGTTTGGAGACATGGTTTCTCTGTATTGTTTTGGAGGCTGTTGATCCAGCCTGGCCTCGAACTCATAGAGATCCGCTTGCCTCTGCCTCCCGAGTGCTGGGATTAAAGGCGTGCGCCACCACCACCCGGCTCCCAGCTAGCTTTTATAACTTAAATTAACCAATTTCTATTCATCACCTTTCTGCCATGTGGCTCATTATCTCTCCTCCATTCTGTATGCACAATCCCTCCGAGTCTCCCTGACTTAATCCCACACATCTCAGATTCTTCCCAAGTTTCCCTCTCCCTGGAAGTCCCATCTACTCTCTTCTGCCTAGCTATTGGCTATTCTGCTCTTTATTAAACCAATCAGAAGGTGCCTTTGGTAGAGACACATCTTCACAGTTTATAAAAGAATTATCCTGCAACACACAGTGACTGTCTAAACTAAATGGAATGGTATTTCGAAGTCACAGAGTCAACACAGTGAGACCTGAACGCAAAGCCACAGCTGCCTCTGAAGGAGCTGAGAGCACTTACCCAGCCTCCACTGTAGACTGGATGGTTAATCAACACACCAGTTCCACACCAGGCAGCTCTATTGTCTTGTAAGACATAGAATTATAGGTGAACACGAGAACTTTACCAACAGCCTTGGCCGGTGTCCTGTAGACTGGCTATGGATGCACAAGGCCACCGGGAACCTTGCTGAATCTTTCCATAATATACTCACAGGTCCCCAACTCTGTCTCTGATGGGCATGCCATTTCTTTGGAAGAATGGCTGGCGCCTTCAGGTAAGTGTTGCTTCACCCTAAATGTCTTGCATCAATCATTATGGATGGGATGTAGTGAAGCCTGCAGGGAGGAGACAGTCAAGGAACAGGGCTCTGGAGACAGTGGGGTTGCTCCTGAGGTCCCAACAACAGGGGTCCCTGACAGTCCTCCCCAGATGTTCTTAGAAAAGTGTGCTCTGAAATGTCTTCGGCCTTTTGCTGACTGATCAAGACTCTCTTTCCAGAAGGAGGACCTGCTTGGTCTGGAGTGAGTCACATGCTACAGAAGACTGCATGGTGCTCTCCCCAGTGCAGGTCCCTTCAATGTCCAGAGGTGGATTTGCAAAATGCACTTGAATGCGTTCGACCAAGGAAAGAAAATGAGCGAGGCCAGCAGCCCCCGGGAGTACAGACGCTCCTTATTTACAAGGCAGTCATGCCCAGCAGTCCTGCTATAAGCTGGAAATAGCATAATTCAAAAACTGATGGAACACATCCAACCCTCTGAACCTCACAGCTTAGTAACACTAGTATAGTGTTATTTTGCTGCCACTTGTGACCACATGGCGCCATGAGAGATGATCGTACCACATATTGCTTGCATGGTTAAAAATGAAAACTGAAAATTTGGAAGCATGGGTTCTACTAAGTGCAAATCATTTTGGCACCATTGTAAAGGTTTTATTTCCACAACTGTTCAGTTCAACCATTTTATGTTTGGGGCTTGAACATTTATATTTTCCAGTATTTAGATTTGGACACACCTACTCACACCAGTGATTACTTAGGTAAGAGTTTGGTCATTTTAAAAAAGCTGTCCCTGTCTAAATGCTAAGTGGCTGCCTAGGTTGAGAGAATTCCATATGCTGGGCATCTCATAAACAACAAGGTAGGTGTGTGTGTGTATGTTTCTGGGACCTGCCAAGTCCAAGGTCAAGGTTCCAGCAATGTTGCTGTGTGATAAGCGTCCATGTCTGGTTCACAGACAGCTACGTCCTTGCTTTGCTCTCAATGGTGACAGAGAAAGGGAGCTGTCATTCCTCAAAGGCTCACCCCCTAATATCATCACACCGGGGGGCCAGAGTTTCACTGTGACCCTGTGTGACCCAAAAATACTATCGCAATGGGCTTGGTCTGGTTTTCCCAAATGTTTCCCTAAAATGACAGTAATGGAGGCTAGAGGGGCAGCTCCGCAGTTAAGAGCATTTGCTGCTCTTGAAGAGGACCTGAGTTCAGTGCCCAGCACCATTTGGTAACTCACAACTCTGTGTAATTCCAGTTCCAGAGAACCGTATGCCTTCTTCTGACCTCTGGGGATACCAGGTAAATACATAGTACACATACATACATGCAGGCAAACACTCAAACCAAAAATAAAAACAAATACATTTTTAAAAAGCCCAATGCTGTCTGAACGGTAACAGAAACCCAGAACACAGAGCAAATCCACATTCTTTAATGAAACATCATTTTTAGACAAGGACTACCATCTCCCCATGTTCTTGCCACCTGACATTTTACATGAAATGTACAGTTACTTTTAAAAAATACCCTTATATGTATAGATAACACTTGTCTTTAAAAAAAAGAACCTTTTTAGATTTGGGGGGTTTCTGATCAAAAGTTTGATCACAATCTGCAAAACAAACTTTAAAAACATCTATGGCTGCTAAGGGACCATCTCCTCCCAAACTCCATGAACAATACCAAGAACTCTAAAAAGCAGCAAAGGGGCCACACTGATGGCATGTTCTGTGCTTAGAGAATTATGTCAACAGGCTGAGCAGTTTATGAATATCATGACTGCATAGAGGGAACACAGAGAGGAACTTTAGGGAAAACTGAATCCATCCACAGCCTCATCTCAGTGGGTTGGAGTTTCCACCCTGGGGCACAGGTTCTAGCTTCTAATTCAGAGTACTCTAGAATTTGAGCTTGGAGACCCAAATTCCAAATATTTCCTTAGATCATTTGCCCCAGATGCAGTTCTTGGGTCTTAGAGCCCAAGAACCCACAGGCTTGGTCCCAGATAAAAGGGAAGGTCAACCAAAGGACTATCCTCGAGCCCCTTTATCCATACACACCCAGGGACAGTTGCAGAAAGGCCCCTGAGCAATTGGGAGGGCCAAAGTGGGGGCACCTGTGTCTTTCTGCGGAGTGGACTGTTCTTGGAAGCCAGCCTGTGGTTCTCTGCAGGACTGTGTCATGTGTGAATTCCTGTGGTGTCAGCTTCCAGAGAAGGGGCCCCCAGCAGCCCTTGTTGAATCAGAGGCTGTCTTCTGGGAATGTGTCACAGGCCTAAATAAGGGTGCCCATAAGAGCCTCATTGTTGTAAGCTGGCTGCTGCTGAAGCTGTGTGCTTCTGAAAAGATTCACACTAAGAGAATTATCAGTGTGTCACCAGGGTGACAACCCTATCTCTCCCTGCCTCCTATTTTCATTGGAATTTGTCAATCTTATTTAGATTTCTAAAGGTTAAAACACAGAATTTTTATCTCTGTGGAGTGAGGTTGGTGACAGATACCTTATGTATCATGATTCCTGTCCCACCCTTGACAGACAAAATAAGACAAAAATAAAACCTACACACACACACACACACACACACACACACACACACACACACACACACAAGCGCACCAGAGAAATGGGATTTACAAGAACAATGGGACAAGCTGTGTCTTTTGCCATATAAAGCTCTCCCTGGGTGGGTATGCCAGCAATCAGGCCATGAGGATGGAGGCCAAGCCTCAGTTCAGGGCCAAGAGAAGCTGGAAGAAATCTCAGTTTTTAAGGGGGAGGGGTAATGTGTGGGGCCAGCACCGGAGTCTGATGATAAACCACAGTCAGTGAGTTGGCACTGTCACACTGCCCTGATTAAGGCTTTGATAGCTGATCCTTATATACATACATAGATACATATACACAGACATATATTATTATCAATAATAACACTTGCATTTTTTAAAAACAAATACTCCCATGCATTTCTCTTCCTTTCTTTGTACCATTCTAGCTTTTGCTCCCAGCAGTCATTTCCGTTGGCTGTCATTCTCTGGTTAGTATACTGTGATCTTCTTACAAAAGGAAAACCTTCAACTCTCACAAACACTTTGTTTAAGGTGATGGTCCATCACAAAGGAATTCTGGTGCTTGGGAGCTACACCATCTCTAACAGAAACACTCTCCTGTGCCGCCCTGTGTTCACCACCAACCCAACAGGACTTGCGGTTATGTAAACATTATTTTAAAATTATTTCAACATAAATGCTCTTATAAAGCTAACATACCACAGCTTTTAGCTCAAAATGCCCAGAGATGCCTTAATGAAATGCCATTCAAAACTACCTTACTATTTCAATTATACTTTGAGGTGCTAAATTATGTAAACATCACCTTCTACACTTCTCTAGAACAAGTACCAGACTGTTGAGAATTCTTCGTGCAAGTTGATGGCCACACCCTGCTTAATTGCAGCAAAGTTGCCAACGCACTCTTTAACCTGTCTGGTGATGTGAAGTGTGCCACAGACCGACTTGTTCCAGATGACGGTGACTCTCACGTAACTTGGAATTACTAGTTTTCACCTAGCGAGACCTGAATTGTTCCTGAGATGACCTGGCAAGTCTTGCAGATGCCGTGGGAACCCCAGCACAGGTGGCCTCCTCTGAGCCTCTGAGTGTCATCTCAGCGGGGGGAGCTCACTAGTGAGGGTTCTGCTGGGAGTGACCACGGATTCTCTCTCATGAATGGAGGCTAATGACAGGAGCACCCTAGACGAGGCAAGGTAGCCAGCGACAGGGAAAGGCTTGAGGTCTTCCAACTCCACAACGCTGGTTCCCAGGCTAAACCTCCTCTCTGTGCACCAGGACGCCTCTTTAACTCTTGCGTCAATAGTCTTGGGTTTCCTGGACTCTGGAAGAACTAAGTAAAAACTTTCTGCCCCACTGTCACAACTCAGCCACTGCTAAGATTTTATCCTTGATAAAAGAAGGCAGCCAAGTTATCAGGATAGGCTCATGCTGCCGGTCACCTATGGAAGCCTGTCCAGAGTGGAGGAAGGGGTAGCCCAGGCTGGCCTTTTGCCCCATAGGAGCAAAGGGCTGGAGAAAAAGTGTGAAGAAGCACACTTGTTTGTCACTAGTGTCAAATTTTAACCTCCGTTAGAGGCTGCAATTGCTAACACTGCAGCTAGAACCAATGGGATTCTTTTTCTTCCTGTTGGCCGAAGGAATGTGCTTTCACCCGGATATATGGTTTCAAGGATGTGGTGTGGGTTTTTGTTGTTGAAAAAAATACTGTACACTGTGGGCTGCTTGTTCACAGGTGTTTAAAATATAGTCTCTGTCTTCCCAGAACCTTGGTACTATTTCCTCATGTGCAAGGCATCCTGGAACTTGGTGCTGGTGTATCGGGCATGAAAGCCTTTTTTGTTGATGGTGTCATCTGTGTAGAATCGGATCATCAGCGAATCCCCTGCAGAGTAGATTTCCTCTAAAGGCTGGGGAAAAGAAAAAGGAAAGCTAGATTTTAGGTCAGTCTGTTATTGTTGGAATTCAGAGGAGAGTGTACTGAGATGTTGCCCAAGGATGGCCATGGCTGCCATGAGGTCACCAGAAGCTCTGATGGACACCCAAGCAGGCTCCTCCTTGGGCCCCGCTTTACAAAGTTGAGCATAGACACAAAGTACATTCAGCACCTATGTGTTACAGGGCACGGGGGGGGGGGACTGGCACTGTGCAAACTTCACAAGTGTGTAATAAGGCAGTACTGACTCCGTTTTACACCTGTGGAACCTGAGAATCAAGTTCACATAGGTCAGCAGGACCCACACTCAAGTCTTTCTGGTTATGAAGTTTGTTCTGTGTATCTCCTGCTCTGTGTGTTCTAACACTGTGATGTATCTGCCAGGAAACCTGAAGGGAAGGCCATTCATTGTTCAGGTCTACGTTCTGTCATGGCCAGCAAGTGGGTGGAGCTGCTACATTAGCCAGGAGACTTCCACCAGGCAGTCTGGAATGGGGTTACAGCCAGATGCCAAGGTCACTGCCTGCCAGAACCTAGGGATGCCAAAGGGGATTTCCTGCTAATTAAGATCTCTAAGGGGCTCCTCTCCATGGACTCCTTGGTTTCAGAAATTTTATCAAAGGCAGTGAGTGCTTCAGGTGGTCTCATTTGGTTGTCCTTTCTTTTGAGGAGGACAAGGAATGACAGAAGGATAACCATTCAAAAACATGAACACAAGGCTGAATGTCTGTTTTTCACCAGGAGCAGGGGTGATTCCAAAATGATTTGCATAAGCCCAGGCAACAGCAAAGACGTGCGAGCCATCAGCAGAGACAAGGGTTGAAGCCCAGGACAGATGGTGTGTCGTGTGGTGTGCTAGGGAGTGGCCAGAACACTGTCTTCACTGGCTCCAATGCACCCACCGAGCACAGACTACATGTCCACCCTGAGTCAGGTGGTGCTGGAGACACAGTGAGTCCAGGAAGTGAGTAATAAAGAGAAAGGTAATAACCTTGACCATAAACATTGTGTTTATACCAAGAATGATTTGTAATCCTCATAGACACTTGGCTTTGCTTATGGTAAGAACCGTGAACATAGTGAATATATACAAACACGATGAATTAATAAAACCCAAAGGCCAAATAAAAGTGAGAGTCAGGACTCAAAAACAGAGGCATCATCAGCTGACGATGTCCTTTGTGTCACTGGAAGGGCCCTGGCTGCTTCCCGACCTGTCTCAGTGGAATCTTTTCCACTTTGCCACAGCAAAATGGACTGCTGGCCTCGACTCACGGTGGCGGGATTCTGTCCAGGTGTGACATCGGGAGGTAGCCTGGGCATCCCTCAGACTCACCCCTGAGCCACAGAAGCGGCCGAGCCTGGGTGCCGAGCTGTCGTAACCGTCGTAGGCCTCCATGTAGTCATAGCCACAGTCTGCCTCTTCCTCCACCTCAAAGGTCTGGAATACCAGCTCCACGCCATAGCCATCCTCTGCCACTATCACCCAGTCACAGCGGGCCTGGCTCGGGTAGTTGTTGTCCCCAAACTGGGCATGAGAATAGAGCTCTTTGGTTTGCACTTCAGCCTTTAGCCTGCCCCCACACTCTGCAGCAGAGAGATAGCAAAGACTCACTTTTTCACTCGGTACCCAGAGTCTGGGCATCAGCCCATTGCTTCCCATCGGCTTCTCTGAAGCCCCGGGCATACCTTGTAACCTCGCCATGCCACTGCATTAGGAGTAAGCAGAGGCCAGTAGTGCAGAGGGCAGCGCTCCCGGGGCATGCAAATGGGCCCAAGAATGCGGCGGGGGGGGGGAAGAAGCCAACTGATCTGACTGCTCCAAGTCTTGGAGGTACTGGAAGCAGAAAGGGCTCCTACCGGCGGTAATTTATGATGTCTGACAGTAGAGGGCGATGAAAGCATATCAGAACTGCATCTGAGCCCAACAGCACAGAAACCTCCGTTTTTTGCTGGAAGGTCTTTCTATGAATGCGGGGGGGGCTGGAGGGAGGAGTGGGGGTGGGGATGCAGAGCTACTTCTGGTGTGGATTGTGGACTAGTTCTTAACATCCCAGCTGGAGTGCTTAACCTGGGTTGGCCCGGCCCTGGACAACTGAGTCCTTACTCTTGTCTTTACTCTGGCTACAGTCTCTTCATGTCTGACCTGCCTTGTGTCATTTGATGAGCACAGAGAGGGCAGGATGTCTCCTTCCCCACCTGCTGCACCACCCCCACCCCACCACCCCAGGGATCTGTCACTCCTGGGTTCAACTGTTGGAAACACCCACAGTCAGTGGGAGATTAAGCACCTCCTCCTGCCCATTCTCCCATTTGCTTTCTGGGCTGGAGTGACTATATATCCTTGGATTCTCAAACTCTGCCCTGTCTCTTGAGGTGTCCCCATGCTCTACGAACCCTGATGTAAATAGTCTTTTTATTTATTAAATTCTGCAAATATTTTTCAAGTATGCTCCAACCTCCCTCGGAGACCCTAACCCATCCAGCGCACCTATGTTCTATTTTACTTTATTCTGTGTGTATGGATGCTCTGTCTGTGTATGTATGTGCTATAGTGTCTGTGAACGCCAGAAGAGGGTACTGGATCCCCTGAAACTGGAGTTACGACAGTTGTGAGCCACCATGCGGCTGCTAGGAATCAAACTCAGGTCCTCTGCAAGAGTAGCCAGTGCTCTTAACCACTAAGCTCTCTCTCTCTGACCCAGAGCACCCACATTCTATTCTGTCTGCAGGGACAAGAGGGTGAAGTCACTCATCTGGGACCTTAAACTCCTGTGGAGGAGGTATAGATCCTCAAAAGGCTGCAGAAGGTCTCAGGAAGTGTGGGGGTATCTGCCTAAGCAGGGAAGGCTAGACTGATTGGACATGGGAACTGCCATTGTTTTCTGCCTCTGGCTTAAGGGGGCAGAGGAAAGGGGACAGGGACTATTAAAAAGAGCCACAGTGGGAAGGGGGCTGCTGAAAAGAACGGCTGTGTCCCATGATCATGACCCCCTGCTCAGTACCACAGACAAAAGCCTCCGGCAGGTTCTTTGGCAGCCCCTAGCTCTGCCACAAGGAAATGCCAGGATCATTGAGGGCCTGCACTCCTCTGCAGGGTTAAGCCTGAAATGGCAGAGCAGAGTCTACTTCTTACTGGCTTTCTTATTTAGCAGTATAGATAAGTTAGAAGCATACACATCCTCTTCCAAAGGACCAGGCAGAGCTACTGACATTGGAGAGCCAGGGAGAAAAAGAAAACATGACAGGGAACAGCAGCATTTCCCAGAAGTGGCCCCCTGGGGTACAATGGCTGCTCTCCACCACTCAGCCCTCAGACCTTTGCACATCACAGGCCAGCAAGGTGGCACAGACATTTTCAAAGGGAGCAATGGAGGGAAAGGGGAAGATGGGGGGACAGCACCAACCAAGTGTTGCCCACAGCCAATTCTGTCAACCTCAGACATCAAAGGAGAACAGCTTTCCGCCAACGGCAGCTGCTGATGCTCCTTTTGACGGGGACCTTTGAGGATGCCCCTCTCCTCACCCCACCCTGGCAGACAGACCCAAGGTGGTCCTGCACCAGCTATGAGCCCGTGAGGTGCTCAGCCGCGGCCCGCACCTGTGCTGTGCATAGCCTGGAAGCCTTTTCTCTGCACCGAGGCGTCTGAGTAAAACCTGAGAAACAGGCTGCTGCCCGTAGCCACCACAGGATCTGGCTTCTTGCTGCCACAAAAGCGGCCGAGGACGGGGGCCAGGCTGTCCGTGCCATCGTACAGTTCCAGGTGGTCATAGGCGCATTCCTGGTGTTGCTCAATCTCAAACTCACTGAATGTCTGGAGATGGGAGAGCAGAAAGTGAGGAAAGGATCTGGCATTGAGAAGGGGAGGGACAAGGAAGGGCACACAGGACCTGGAGGTGTCTGTCTACCAGCTTTGCGGGGATGCCCACTGTTGCCACGATGATGCAACATCCAGTCCCAGAGCTGAGCTACCAACTGCCCAGCGCTACTTCTTCACATCCCCTCTAATGCTAGAAGGGACCGGGCGCTCACCCTTGCCGGCAGCAGTGCTACGGGCTTTACACAAGTTCCCTCATTCAATCTTTGAAACCCTGTCCCATGCGCAATCCCTGCAAGATGTCAGGTGGTTTGTGCAGGGTCCTCACTGGCGGAGCCGGTGTGAAACCTGGCATCTGTGGCTTCAGACACACTGCTGTTAGCCTGTGCACACTACCATACACTTGGAATTCCAGTGGCTTTGAGCAGGGCCACACTGTGATGCCATTATCCTCAAAGCGGCTGGCATTCACTGTTTTTTTCCATGCCAATAAATTATGGGAACTTTCTCACTTAAATTCTAATGAAGTTATAGAGATCAATTATTACCCCCAGTGAGCAGAAGAGGAAACTGAGTCATAAAGACCCTAACTGGAGTGAGAATTGAATAGGACCCAGAGACAATCTTCTCCAGTCCACACTATTAACCATAACCATAACCAGATTCTTTTGTCTTTTTTTTTTTAATCCTGTCCCTCACTGAAGACTGTCCCCAGTTGTTGGCCTGGGGAGCTGGGCATTTCAATCCATGGCTACGGTCTGCCTGTGGCGTCAAGGTGAGCTGAGAGTATGAGGTGAAGGCTTGGACCAAAGGGCAGAGTAGGAAGGGGCACACTGTTTGTATGTGCAAGCGTCACACTCTAGTCAGTCAACATACCCACCAACCATGTTCCGAGGAAACGCCTTTTCCAGACTAATTCTTGTGTGCACACAGCTAGGTTAAGGCATCCCATTCTTCAGGCCCCACCCCAGGGCGCGCTGTCCTTCATGATCACCAGGAATAAATGTGACTCACAGACTTATATGCACACACATACGTAGGAACACACACACACACACACACACACACACCCCTCAGACTGTTGAGATAAGCAAGAAGGACTTTATGAATGACAGACTGATGATGCAGGGAGGGGAGAAGAGAACAGAGATAGACATGGCGATTTGTAGGTGAGAGCGCCAGGGAGTTTCCTGCTGCACAGGATACATTAATGGACTCCCAAGGCATCATGGGTACAGAAGGGACCCCAGACCGCAGGGCATGCTCCTTGGGCAGCACCTGTACATGGCATGCACTGCCTATGGAGAAACTGCTTTCTTCTGCCTGGGCCCCTCCGAGCAGTGTGGAATCTACGTGAGGGTGAGTTAAGGAGTAAGGGCCTTTGAGAGGCCACCTTTGTTCCAGACTGCCACCTGCCGAAAACATCACAAATTTCTAGAGTGGGAATAAGGGACCTGAGAGCTTGTGACCTTCCTCTGCCAACCATCTGTGTAAAGTAAGCCTTTCATTTTTGTTTTCTTCTTATGAGGGTAATGTTCTGTAAGAGACCTGTTCTCAAAACTACTGGATTCCACACAGCACTGCAGACATGTGTCACATGGTGTCACCGGAAGCAGGGCCGTGACAGAGCTCTGAGCATGCTCCCTTCTTCTGCCCAGCAACCCCTCTGCAAAATTCACAGCATCTCCCCCGAGATCCGGACATGCTCCACACTGGACATGGAACAGGGACTTGAACCCATGTCTGCCTAACACCAAAGTTTGTGCTCTTAGCAAACTAATGAAGCAACTCACAATTTTCACCCTGTGGCCAGCGGTTGACGAAATGTTCCAGGTACATTCCTTCCGGCTGGGGTACTTGTCAGGCCAGTTGGGGCTCATCAGGGTCCCCTCTGCACTGCTGATCTTGTATGCACAGCCAGCTGGAGGTCAGAAAGGGACAAACAGAGGGGTCATTTAACTGGGGGCAGCAGCATCACAGGGGGGTCTCAAGGCCAATAGCCAATTCGTGGCAGCCAGTCTGGATCTGCTGTGGCCTGCTGCTGACTCTGAAGTGGGCTCGGGAGGAGAGAGAGCTCTGCAACTATGAATATCTACCTGGAGCTCGGCACTGTGGACTTGGTAGGGAGAGAGAGCTCTGCAACTGTGAATATCCACCTGGAGCTCGGCACTGTGGACTTGGTAGGGTTAACTCTTGGCTGGAGCACAGGCCCTGGGGTCAGGTGGGGTTCAGTGAGAGTACTGGTTCCACAACTTATGGGACTAAGACTAAGAGGGATGCCAGGCTCATACGTGTGGGTCAATGTCACACGTAAAAGGCCTAGAGAGTGCCGCCCATGGTGACTGTTAACAGAGATCCCTGAGTCACTATGCCTTCCCCCATCAGTGTCATCCGTGACCTGCCTGCTTTGTCCAGGTCACTGTTATTAGCCAAGAGCGGTACCCTGGCTTGCTTGGTGACTAGTATTTTGAGTCTGTCTTCCTCTGTGGCGAGTGGTTTGCAAGGCAACCTCTCACTTAATTTTCCCATCTCCAAATAAGAAAACAGAGAGAGGCCGGTGGCCCTCACATCTTCCACCATCCTCCAAATCCTTCACTGACCCAGGGCAGGGCCTGAAGCTACATTATCCCAGATATACAAACTTCCTTCGCTGGGCAAGGGAAATGCTAGGGGCAGGATTCTTCCACAAGGGCGGGACACGCAGAGAAATCTGGCTCTGAAGGGAGCAAGCAAAATTCCTTACATTCCACCTCATTCTCAGTCCTACACGTGTCACTACTGACAAAGGCATGGGCCTAATATTTACGGACACCTAGAATACACAGTATGTACCAGACTGTCTCAAACACTTCCTAGGCAGGCTGGAAGCCTTACAAAACCTTCCAGTTTACTGTGTTTACCCTGCTTGCCACAGGAGCTTAGAGTATTGCAGTAACTAGCTGAAGGGCAGATCCACAGTTTAGATCTAGGTATATCGATTCTGGAGCCTACTGACCTAGCCAGTCTGTGATAGGCCCTCATCTCAGACCACCTGACCAGCTGTCCCTGGTCCCACAGGAGGGCCACCAGAATGTGGGAGATTCAGAGGGAGATCTCACGGCGTTCTAAAGATGGCAGCTCCCCAAGCCGAATCCCACCCCCCACCCACTCACACACCTAGAGAAGCAGGTGCAGCCCAGCAGCTCCAACTCACCCTCTTTGCAGTCATGCCCGTTCTCGTGAAGGCGGTACCCATTCCCGCACCGGCACAGGTAGCTCCCGAATGTGTTGACACACTCCTGCTGGCAGCCGCCATTGTCCTTGGCACACTCGTCCTTGTCTGTTGAGACCAATGGGCTCTCCTGAGAAGGGCTGTCCGCTCGCCACGGCCCCTGTGGCTCAGGACCTGCCCAAAGCAGCTTCCTCCAAGGAGTCTCTCACACCACTCTTAAAGTCACAGAGTGGGCATCTTTGTTCGGGATATTTGGGGCAGCCATTGGTGTCTTTGGGGTGCTCTGTCCTCCTAAAACACCTTCATGCATGGGACATGTGTTCTCTGTCCTGCTTCCCACCCAAACCAAGGATCTCCCTGAAGGACAGACTCACGTGAACAGCAACGGCAGCAACAATAAAAACGACCAACATATACTGAATATTGACCACAGAACGGATCCTTGTCACTTTCCATACATCATCGTTATTTAAGTTAATTCCCACTCAAGCTTAGAAGGGTGTATCTTACCCCCCTCCCCAAGTTTACATGCAAAGAAACAGGCCGAGGCAGCTCATACGCCCAGTCATTCAGCACAAAGCCCGCTATGACCCGGATGGGTCTGGACACACTGCTCCCATGTGTGGAGAGGTGAGTGAGTGTGTGGACACACTGCTCCCGTGTGTGCAGAGGTGAGTGAGTGTGTGGACGGGTCTGTACACACTGCTCCTGTGTGTGGAGAGGTGAGTGTGTGGGTCAGGAGCCACATGGGGGGTGCTGACCACTTGACTTCAGCAGGGCCTTGTCTGAGTCTGTGCCCCATTTGTCTTGGGCTTCCTTAGGTTGCTGGAGGGGAAAACGAACGGGAATCAGGAAAGCCTTTGGGAGAATGTCCAGCCCCCAGGAAGTGTGGTCCCTGGTGCTGGCTGTTAGCCTGTGGTTTCTGAGGCTCTAGTGTGGACCTTTCCATAGCCACCTTCTTCCCGAGTAAATGAGGCTCTGCCTCCACTCCACCCCACCCCCGCCTTTTCCCCCATGCTATTCATGCCCCAGGGATTATTGGTGGCAGGCTTCCCTCTGTACTCTCTTGCTGTCATAGGGATGGTGGTTTAGAACAGTTCACATTGTATTTCATGGTGACGACCAAAACCCCATCCAGAGCTCTCAGAGTGCAAACTGACTGTCACAGTCCAGGACAGCCCTCTCCCCTCGCCCTTCCAAAGTCCTGCTGACACTCATGGGTCCTCATCCTGCTGAGACCCAGCTTCTCTGTCTCTGGGTTCTGTGTGTAAACATGGAACTGTACCCTTCATTAGGGCCTTGCACATTTTTCTCTTAGGAGATTCCTGTCCCCTTCAGCTCCATCCTGCCTGGCCTGGTTTAGTCATGTGATATTTGTAGGCCTCCCTGCTCAGAACCTACAGAGAGCTCCACATCCTGTCCCACTCGATTCCACTCTTCAGCCAGCATTCAGGGCTCATTATGACCAAGCCTACCTGACCTGGCCCACCTGTGAGGTCTCCAGTCAGCCATGGCCCCTGCCAGTCTGGTCTTACTGGTCCTTGTGAACACTGAGACCCTTGAATCCAAGCTCACGACACCTCCTCTCCTCCAGACCTTGGTCACTTCCTTTCCAGTTATACTGTCTCTCCCTCGGCGCTTCAAATATGGCCCAGGTCACACGCATCATGCAGAGAGCCTGTTCCCACTTCCTCAGGGCCCCCTCCTCCAAGCATCAGCCCTTGTTGGCCAGCCTGCCCTAAGCTGGGACTCACTGGGATGTTGTCTTCCTGGCCTTCCCAGCCAGGGCAAACTATGCTGGATGCTATCCAGGCAAGCTCTGAGCTCAGGTCTGTGCTGTGCCCGTGACACAAAACAGAACTTGCTCAGTGGGAGACAGCCTCCCCCAAAAGTCAAAGACAGAACTCTGAGTGCCTATAAAGCCAACCAATAATGGGCCTGCTTCAGTGCCGAGCACCGAGAGAGGGGATCCAAACACCCTTTAGAGAAGTTCACACTCCAGTGTGATGTGACCAACAGGACCCACTACATGCTTTGTGGTGTCCTTGAGTTCTGACCTTTGGCTCATAGAACTTAAGAGAATAAAATTCTTTGTTTTAAGCCACCCTTGGCATGTGGCAACTTGTTGGGGTGTCCCCAGGAGATGAACTTGGCCACCAGTATAAAAACCACTGTCATGGTGGAGGATGAAGAGGAAGTTGGACAAGGCAGAGGGGAGGCTGCAGGAACTCGGGGTCCAGGAGCCTCCGGGCCTCTGCAGGCCCGCCCCACCTGCCTGAGAAGAAGTGGGCCCTGAAGCCGCGTTTGGAGACCGTGTTGTCAGACTTGAACTCCACACGCATGCTGTTGCTCTGTGATGTGATGACCTCGGGGGTCTCTGAGCCACAGAACTTGCCATGAAGCTTGGCGTCAGGAGACAGGCCACTGCGCACCTCCACGAAGTCGTATTTACAGACCTGTGAGGTGACATGATGTTACCAACCTGACAGTCACAGCCCAGCACAGTCCTCCCCTCCTCCCCTCCTAAGTCCTCCTGCTGACACTCATGGGTCCTCCCTCACCAGCGCTCCTCCCCAGACTACATCCTTCCCTGTGGGCAAATGGGCCCCATCAGTCCTGGAGCTGGAGTTCTCTGGATTGTCACTGTGTTGGTGTCAGCCAGAGGGTGACAGGGACTTTCCAGATAAGGCTTTGTGAGGTGCAGCTGCCTGGCAGCAGAATATAAGATCCTTACTTGCTTCTACTTATTTATATCTTGGGCTACCACAAGACACGGGCTTCAGCAAAGAGCCCCAATGGTTAGGAGATGGCAAAGGAGGACAGAGCAAGGGAGGGGATGTCTTCAAACCGCGGCCACAGTCCCGCTCCATCACAGTCTCACAAACCAATGCCCAGAAGGGAAGGACTGACATCACCTGGTTCAGCAGTGGTGGAGCTGGGACCAGATAGAACCCACATTACCTCACGTAGCACAGGATTCTCTTTGAAAATAACTTAAATGCTGAATGTCTGGTAGGTTACTTTCAAATGGCTCTGTGTGACTGTATGTGTGTGTGTGTGAGTGTGTGTGTATTTGTGTGTGAGTGCGTATGTTAGTAAGTATGTGTGTGTGAGTGTGTGTGTACATGTGTGTGTGTACATGTGAGTGCAGGTAGCCTTGAAGGACAGGAGAGTTATATGTGGTTACAGTGCTGGGAATTGCACTTGGGTCCTCTGTAAGAAAAGCGCTTCCTAGGTAGCGTGGCCTAGCGGTCTAAGAAAAGCGCTCCCTCTTAACTTACTGAATTTGGGACTTTGGGCATGGAAGTCTCTCTTGGTTTCCTATAAGGGTGATGGAGTGGGCAAAAGCTAGGCTGCTGCTGTTAAAGTGACAGCCCTAGCTGGGCTTTGACAGGGGTACATGGAGAAGCACATGTAGCCCCAGGGGCTCCTATATCCCCAGGTGCCAGCATGGGGTGTTCCTGTGACCACTCTGGCTGTGGGGTACTGCTGAGGCCTCTTCTGACGTGATTACCTGTAGCCCTTCCAAGAGATAGGGACAGGCTGTGTACAGTGTCCTTGTCTGCTGCTGGCCCCCAGTGCCTGCGTTTCTCTCCGCTGACAGTAGTCCCCAGATCCACACCTTGGAGTTTCAATCCGCCCTGACGATTGTACGCCCAACTCCCACCTCCTTCACTCTTGATCCCATCTCCCTTGGACTTAGTGAAAAGGACATGCAGCCTAAAGTGACTCAATAAACACTGCCCCCTTCTCCACAGCCTCCAACTCTGCCTAGTCTACACCCCAGATCTCCACCAGAATCAGCAGTTTCACCCAGGACACCCAGACGCCTGAGGAGCCTGTCACAGCTCTGAACCACTTTTCAACATGGCCACCACACCATCTATTACGGGGCACAGACGTACATCGTTGCCTTCCAGCTCAAATGCTTCAAACTGCAGGGAGATGCGGTACTGCGTCGGGGCCACCACCTGCCAGACACAGTTCTTGTTTGTGGGATACTCCTTTGGCCACCCAGGGCTGGTGATGGTGCCATTTAGCTTGGTAATGAATCCACCACAGGCCACTGCATGGAGGGAAACAGACTTTAGATTCATCTGTTTTTGGTTCCAAGTGACTGTGATTTCTCCCCAAGCATCTCAAAGACCTGCTGTCCTTTAATAGTTGTGAAGAAGTTAGGCAACCTGAACTGACTGAGATTCTTTTTTCTAGGTGAATGGTTTCCACTGAGGCTTTGGAGGAACAAGCTGGGGACACATCTACTACTCTTAACGTAATGATGGAGCATTTGACCTGTCATACAGTAAGTAGCACAGCGGGGAGCGCCACAGGTCTTGAACCAAAGGAGGGTTAGAGATGTCTGTATCAAGCTACTCACTGTGCCTGGCTTGTGTGAGCAAGTGGATTTCTGTAGGTGGCCTGAGTCCAGGTCACAAGGGAAAGAGGCAGGTTAGGACCTATAAAGCAAATCCAAAGCACTCCTAGTTCCTTGTGGTTTTGCCATGACAACCACATGAATTTTATACACTTACAGTAGCCTCTGTCTCATGGTTTCAAGCATGACTGGAACCTGTTATATTTGTGACGGTCCCCGCTTGTTTCTGCCTCGGAAAAGTAAGTGGCTCTCCTGAACATCGTTAGTTCATAGTCAACTACCTGCCCATCTCTGTCTCAACTTCTCCTAAAACTTGTCTCACATCCCTTGTAATTTCAACTTGGCAGGTCCAACACCAACCTTCACATGTCTTCTTGTCGGCAGCCAGCTCGTAGCCAGGGTCACAGGCACATGTGTAACTGCCAAGTGTGTTGACACAGCGTTGCTCACAGCCACCATGGTCTGGCCAAGAACACTCATCCACCTCTGTAGGAAAGGAAAGTGACAGGGCTAAATGTCACCAAGATGCACCGTTCATATCCTCCCTTCCATATCCTAGGGCTCCAGGTACAGATCTCTATGACAAGAGCTACTCTCAGTGGCCACCTCCTAAAAACTCCTGTGTCTACACTTAACAGTCAAAGGTGGAATCCTGATCACGTAAACAGGGGCATCTGGTGATCCGGAATAGAAAGGGCCAAGCCTGGAGAGCAGAATTAAGCAAGGTGCCCATTCACTGTCCACGAGTGGTTTTATAAATCTCATCAGGTTCCACAGCAGGCGCCACATAATTTTAATACCACAAAATTGGGATTCTCTGCCTAAGTACAGAACTCATTAGAGACATTCAGAAAAAAATGCAAATGGAAGAATGCATTTCTAGATGAAGATGTACAAGTATCCTAGACAGAACTAGAAGTCTGCTGGGCAACATTTATATGGAAATTCTTAGTAACATACAGAAAACACTGGGTTCTCTGATTAGCCACTGCTCATGGGAGGAACTGTTGAATAAACAGGAAGGAGGCTTGGGGTGGGTAGTCTGAGTGATTCAGCACAAGCAGGTGTCCAGTGGTGTTCCCAGGGCATTAAACAACAATGAGTAGGATGCTATGAGCTCTGACCATAGACAGAACACAAGAGTCACTGGAGAATCCCCCAGGAGATGTTAGTTCACAAGTCACTGATGTAAAGATAATCGTTAGCATTGGCCATTTCCAACAAGAGTCTTAGAAGTAAAAGGAAAACCATTCCACTGCCAGGCTGTGGTACACCTATCCATGAAAGATAGCATACAGGGTGTGTCCTGACTATGCCAGAAGAGTCTAATGAAGGGACCACTAACATCATTTAAAATGCAAAGTGAGTGGGGCAGGGAGGACAGTGCAGATCCATGGCACCAAGGAAAGTAGGTGCAGAGAAAGATGAAGTTGTTGGCCAGGTTTGAAAGAATGAATTGCACAAGGAAATGAAAGGAATCAGAATATCTAAGAGTTGGAAAAAACCTGAAGAAATGCAACCCTCTCTCTGTTTCTCCCGCTCTACTGCCTCTTCCAACTCAAATGAACTGCTCTCAGCCCATCTTTCTTGTCTGTGATGCCTGAATCCCTTATCTGCCTCGTTGCCCTCCTCCAGGAGAAGACAGCCTGTCAGAACCTTAGCTCTTCACTCAGTGGATATTATATAGAGAAATTCTGAATAGCAGGTGTTCTTGGACCCAACAAAAACTGAAATGAGTTGGTCACTGGGCACCTAGATATGTTAAAGCAGGGAAGTGAAGTTGTCCATGGGTATTAATAAATGTAGTACTAAACATGTTGAAACAGTGTTCAAGTAGCTATTTGCTCATTGTGTTGAAATATGCAAAGATCTTTCTTAGACATCTACCAAAATGTAGCAAGGATGAGAACGTGTAGGATAATACATGGCAGTAGAAAGAGTCTGGGCTCTCAGGTAAGATGGGTCAGGTTGAGTCAACTGATGTGATCCAATCACATGACTCGGATGCTGCTTGTTTAGCGTCTCTGAGCTTTCCTCTAGGTTGAAAATGACAAGAATGGCCTTGGCTTTTGTGGTGGTTGAAGATTATGGCCGTGAAGGACTGGTGAGCAGCCAGTGTGCAGGGTCTCTTCAAACTTCTCTGACAGTTTTGGCAATTCCAGCAGATGGGAAGATAATGACAGGGACAGCGGAAGGAGAAAGCAGCATGGACCCATCCATGTCAGGCAGAGTGGGCAGGGGGAGAGGAGAAGGACGAGAGCAGATGAGGGGAGTGTTGCGGAATATTAGTTTAAGATGTGTTGCATTTGCTTGTGTTGTGGAACATTTGTTTAATGATGCAAAGATGTGCTGCATTCTTTTACGCTGCATCTGCTTAAACTCTGTGAAGCTGTGTTACTTTGCCTGTCTAAAACACCTGATGGTCTAATAAAGAACTAAACGGCCAATAGCTAGGCAGGAGAATGGCTAGACGGTGCTGGCAGGCACAGAGAATAAACAGAAGGAGAAAAAGAGAAGGGGGGGAGCGAGAGTGGGAAGAGGAGAAGGAAGAGCCACCCGGCTACACAGCCAGTCACGGGGTAAGAAATAAAGAAAGTAAACAGAATAGAGAAAGATAAACCCCAGAGGCAAAAAGTAGACGGAATAATTTTAGTTAAGAAAAGTTGGATAGAAACAAGCCAAGCTAAGGTGGCAGGTCCCCAAAGAGCAAATAGTAAAACAAAACAAAACAAAAACAGGGAAGGGCTTGAAAGATGGGCCAGTGAAGGAGGAATATGGACAGGAGCAGCGCAGAGGTTCAAGAAACTGACCAGAGGGCAGAGAAAGCTTAGAAAAGATCCCACGAGAAGAGACAAAGATAAATAAGACCCAAGGGGAGGGGAGGGGAGGGGAGGCTCTGATGCCCGGAGATGTGGTGGTTGTGGGCAGGGCACAGAGACAAGGAAGAGGGGATCACCATTTCTTAGCACAGTTGTTGCTAGGGAGAGAAACTAGTGGGATGGACTTAAAGCCCAGAAAAAGCCATTCACGCAGAGACAAAGGGGAGGAAGAAAAGCTGCCAGCGCAGTGGGCTGTGTTGCTGTCCGCAGCACTGTGCCAGCGCGGGTGAGTGGCAAGCAAGTGGGCACCATTCTTGCCAGGGTCTGGCTGGTTACACACCTCCAAGGGCACCAAGCCCACTGGCTCATGATCACACCACACAGTGCATGCACACCCTCAGAGGAGACGTGAGAGCGTGCAGATAGAATCAGCCGACACCAGAGCTTAGCCGATTATGGCCGGAGCCCTCCCTGGCTTCACACCATCCCCTAGGTACATAGGAAACGAAGGTGCCATTCTGTGGCTCAATAATGAAACCCAGACAAGATCTTCAAATCATCCCAGAGAGAGGTATGGAAAGGGAAGTCCAAGCGAGCACATCCCGGGACTTTGAAGAAAGACCTCAAAGTAAGCCTCCACTAACTACCACCTACATCCCGTGTGGCCCCTGTGCACTGGAATGACAGTGTGTAGGGATTCAAGTGGGATTTCACACTCCTTGTATAGGGCTGTGGGACCAGCCAAATTTTGAATGCCACCATCCTCTCTGAAAGTAAGCAGACATGTAATGCTCTGCCTGCTGCCTAGCCAATTGGCTCTGAGGGGCTGCCATCTGGCACCAGGAGATCAGTGCTGAGGCCAGCTGGCACCCTGGCCAGTGTTACAGGCCAGCTGGGCCCCAGGCAAAGGTTGTTGCCAACTGGCATCAAGGCACAAGGTTCTCTGGCTCACCCCAGCTCTGCCAAAGGCTCTGGTTATGTTTCCAATTCCCTCCCCCTGGCAAAGACACACGAGCCAGACACTATGCTCTGGGGCATCCTACCATGGCCATGCTGGCCAAGGGAATTAATCACTGGGCATTAAGATTTTCATTCTGTCTCTTGATTTTCCCTGGATGCCCCAAAGGGAAGAACACTAACCCCACGTCTCACTTGGGACTCAACAGTTTGCAAAGCATCTCCAACCATCATTTCATTGGAGCTTCGCAACTCAACAGACTTTCTTCTTCCTGTTCAACAAGGGGAAACTGAGGCTCCAGTAAGGAAATGAAGCTGCCTAGCAGGATGGTATGTCTTGAAGTCAGTTCTTCTGACAGCCATCCCTTTACGGAGAACCTAGGAAAGGTATCCAAGAAGAGGCAGGACCAGGTGTAGTGGCTCACATCTGTGATCTGAGCACAGGAAACTGAGGCAGGAGAATGGCCATGAATCTGAGTGAGTTACAGGCCAGCCTGGGTTACAGTGTAATACCCTCTCTCAGACACTAAAATAATAAAATAAAAGGAGGCATAAGGAGGATGGGGACGGAAGGAAGGGGTTGGGATTTTTATCTGTCACAGCCAGGAGTCATAGAAGAGGAAGGAAGGTGGACACGGTCCCCCTGAAGTGGATTTGGGTGGCTGGACTCCAAGCGGTACCATAATGAGGGAGCCATGAAGAAGAAGCTGCAGGGACCCTCGGTCTCCACCATCCTGACTGTTGGCATGCTCCTGGCTCCCAGCTACAGTAAACCAGACCAGGGAATACTGTGTCCTTCTTAAGGATCGTGTGCATCCTTTGGGGTTCCTGCTTGTCCATTTACAGGAAACATGGAAGCCCTTTCTTACACTGGGTCTGCCTTTGTGATCTGGGTCTGGGTCCACCAAGGAAATCTGCTCCCTTACTGTCGTCCCACACCCTCCCTTGGGGACAAGCATGGGGGATGGGAGCCAACACCTCTGGAGTGGAATGGCTGGGTTGCCTTTGCAGCCCACACCAAGGAGTGCGAGGCACTTGTAGAGGGTGTGGGGTCCAAAGTCAGACAGGGTTTAGATCTTTAGTCTGCCACTCATCTCTGAGAAACCCTCAGCAACCCTTCTCAACTCAGATCAACACAATCTAAACCTAACTGGAAGGGTCATGACAGGAACAAAATAATACCAAAATATGCACCTTGCATAGGCCCTGGGACACAGTGAGATCTCGGTTAATGACGCCGCCATGCATGCGTTGTTAATCCAGGGTTTCTCTAAGTATAGTTTGACCTGGTAAAATCACTGCTATGTCTTGGAGGTTGCATTTAGTAGGTAAAGTGTTTGCTGTGTAAGTGTGAGGACCTGAGTTGAGATTGCCAGCACCCACATAAACGTCAGGTGTGCCTGGCAGCCGGTTTGAAATCCCAACATCAGCAGGCAGAAGAGAGCTGACTAGCTAGGCTAGCCAAAGTGAGAGGCCCTTCTTCAAAGGATAAGGTAGAAATCTCTGAGAAAGACCCTAATGTCAGCCTCAGGCCTCACATGCATATGTACCCCCACACACATACATGTGCACACATTCGCATGACCATTCAATCGCATGCGCAAACACACACATACCCTTCAAAAATAAATCACTAACTCTCATTTTCCCAACTAGAAATCTTCTTGCAGAAGCCAAGTAGAGCCTGTTCCTATATATGAACCCACGGAGCCCACCAGCAGCTCTTGCTTAGCAGCCTCCTCCCTGCCACAGCCTTGCTTTCTGCTAAGAGCTCGTATAGATCTGGGCATTCTTATACTGGGGAAGGCAATATTTCTTCCCGTGAATGAACATAGAACAAACTGCTTAGCCATACCCTTGAAGAAACTGGCTGCGAAGCCTGCTTTATTGATGGAACCGTCGGACACAAACTTCAGCCACAGTCGGTTGGCACTGGATTTGACAGCCTCTGGCTTCTCATAGCCACAGAAGTGGCCAATCAGGGCACTCTCCTCTGTGGGTCCATCACGGATTTCCAGATAGTCATAGGCACAGCTGTCATGCCTTTCGATCTAAAGAGAAAGACAGGGCCACATGGATGATACTGGCTGGCCTGCCTTAGGGATTTTTAATGCAGACTTAAAACCTAAGTGTCACCCTCAAATCTAATGAAACATCTGTCCCTGTTGTAACAGTCAGGGTGGACCAAGCTGGAAAGGGCCTAAGAGAAGCAAGGGAGATTGGCTTGAAATGAGCTTTCAGCTTCCTATTTTAACCCAAAGTGAAAATTTGTCTCTTTTCAGATGTGTGTGTGTGTGTGTGTGTGTGTGTGTGTGTGTGTGTGTGTGTGCATCTAGGCCACAGGTAAACAAACCTTACGTGTTGTTCCTCAGAATCCTCCTACTTTGTTTTTTGAGACAGGGTTTCTTAGTAGCCTGCAGCACACCAGTTAGGCAAGCCCCAGGGATCTGCCTGCATTGCCTTCCCATCCATGGAATGACAAGGGTACACCAAGCTTGGCTTTTTAAAATGGGTACTTGGGATCAAACCCCGGCCCCATGCCTGCAAGACAGCAAACACTGACTGAGTCATCTCCTCAGACCCCACCCCCAACCCTCTCTGCGATTCTTGGTTGGTTGGTTGGTTGGTTGGTTTGGTTGGTTGGATGGTTTGGTTTGGTTCCACCCCCAACCCTCTCTGCGATTCTTGGTTGGTTGGTTGGTTGGTTGGTTGGTTGGTTGGTTTGGTTGGTTGGATGGTTTGGTTTGGTTTTTTTGGTTGAAACAAAGTCTCACTGTGTAGTCCAGTCAGCCCTGAAACTCACTTTCTTCCTGCCTCAGCCTCCCAAGTGCTGCAACTTCAGCATCATTGTGGAGCTATAAGAACCCGTCTTTATAGAGCAGGGTGTGGAGCAGACATCAGCTCACCACCAGGGCTCACCTCAAAGGACTGGAAGGTAAGTCCCACGTGGAACCCCTCCTCCACTGTGATCCTCCACACACATTCCTTGGAAGGTCTGTAGTCATCGGGGTAGTTGGGAGATTGGATCTGACCAGAGTCTTTGGTGATGTCTCCCCCGCACACGGCTTTAGAAAGAACAGAAGAAAAGGAGGGTTGGTTTGTGGTCACGTCTTACAAATACAGGTGAATGGCTACGTATTGCCACTAGGTGGCTCCAAGAGCCAGCGTTTTCATCTGGGTCTATCAAAGCAAGCCTTTAAGGCCGGAGGGTTTCAACTCTCAACAGCATGCAGCACCCTCTGTGCACAACAGAACCAAGTAGGGGATCGTTTCAACTGTGGGAGCCTGACCTTGCCCTTGGAGTCTTACTCGGGTGGGCCTGGAGACAGTGGTGCTGCGGAGAACACGTGCATGTTCACACTTATGTGCACACAGACACACACGTGCACGCGCAGGTATGTTCACTATTCCTTTTATGAAATAAAGTTTTATTCTTCAATGACTCAAGGCAAAGGGGACTTTGATACTCCTTAGTTCCATTCCTTTTGGGCTGGTAGAGTTAAAACACACCGAAGCAGCCCTCGGGGTGATCTTACAGCCCTTCTCATGCATGAAAAGGGACCTCCAGGTAATACCAGGTTTTCTTTTCACTGGTGAAACAAGAGCCCAGAGAGGCCAGGTCCCCTCTGCTTGAGCTCTCCTGGGGGGTGAGAGGCCACTGCCATCTATACAGGACACCTTCCATACCCCCGCTGGGTTGAGAAGCGCTCAGTGGGCTTGTGACAGAGGCTAAGCTCAGCACACCTGGCCTTCACCTGCCCAGTGTGACAGAGGCAGTGTGTAGTCCTCGGCTTGGACTCTGTGTTAAGAGCTTGACCCTCTAGAAAGTGGCCTCGTACACCTGGAAAGGAGCCAAGCTGCAATAGGACAGGTGCTTGTCAGGGGCCATCTGCCTGGCTGCTCCACGGAGAACAAACCTTCATATACTGCAAAGAAGCCCTTGCCCAGGATACTGCTGCTGCTACGGAATTCCACCCACAGCCGGCTGTCCGAGGAGATGAGGGGCTCGGGCACCTTATCGCCACAAAACCTCCCTGGAAAGGGAAAGGACAGTCAGGACACTGTGGACATTGAGCTCACCTCACCACAGCCTGAGGGAAAGACAGGGAGTGACTACTGACCCTGCAGTACCCACAGGGCTGAAAATGGGCCTAAATGTGGCACACCCGTGTGCCCACGGGGGACAAGCACAGGGCAGATGGCAGGTACCTGCCCCTGCCACACGAGTCCTGTGGTGGCTCTCGGGGTGGGGGTGCTGAGCTATTGCTGATGCGTCTTCCTCTAAAGCTTCTGAAGGCAACCACACCCTTTCCTTTGGGGCACTGGGCATTCTGCTGCCCTTGCCTCGGAATAGGGCCAGAGACCAAGAAACCAAAGCGTCTTGGCATTTAATTGCTCAGGACCGGATGCAATACCTAAGACATGGGGTTGAAGAGGAGTGGGTTTCCCGGCGTGATTGCTCAGAGACACCCAGAGAGGGACACTGGGATAAAAAAAAAACTTCAGAGGGACACCATGGAGCCCTGTAAGGAATGACTCCTTGTCCTTTTCCCCCAAGCTAAGACAATGGCTAACACAGGGTGATAAAGACCACAAGGAGGTTGAATGATCTGGAAGAACAGAAAATGGTATCCTCAGCCCCTTGCACAGAGCCCAGCAGGGCAACATGACCCGACAGCCCTTGATCTTTCTGGGTCCAGTGAGGAATTGTCTATGTGACTTGCCAAGACTTTTGCCAAGACACAGTCATGCAAAGTTCCCCATGTCAGCCCTGAAGTGACACAGAATGGTGACTACAGGCTCCTGAGAGGGCACGGAGGCCACTTTGCCACAGTTCACAGACCTTGGGAGTCACAGAGTATCTCCCACGCTTGGAGGAGGGTGTGGACTTGGGTATCACCTGAGTTACCTTAACTTGAGGCAAATGGGGAACTACAGAGCAAGTCCAAAGTCTCACCATGTAGCCCAGGTTGAAGGCACTAAGTATCTCAGACTGGTCTCAAACTTGCTGAGTCCTCTTGCCTCAGCCTCTCTAGTGCTGGGATTATAAACAAGTGCCATCGTGACTAGCTCTCAATTAAAAAAAAAATGGGTAGTTTAATCATTAGCGCCATGTAAAGCCCTGGAGAAGGCACCAGCCACTATAATTATGCTTTATTCTTCTGAGAAAAGTGGAAAAGCTGAGGAAGAGTTAGTACCACAGTGGGCTTTTCCAGATGGTCAGCTCTGCTTCCATTCCTTGAGGACAAGCAGTGCAGAGGGTTGCCAGATGACTCTGCTCCCTCCTGGCTCTGGCTGCCTCTAGCCATTGGATTCGGCGGTCTCCATATTCAATGCAATAATAACTCTGCCAAGACTTGGCAAGGAAAAACCCATGAGAAGGGCTGGGGAAATGGCTCGGTTGGTGAAGTGCCTGCTGCACAAGAATGAGGATTCGAATTTGAGCCCCAAAACCGTGTAAGAAAGTCAGGTGTGATGGAATATGCTTATCATCCTAACCCAGGGGACGAGTCTCACCGGCTAGCCAGCAAAAAGGTGGGTGGCATTTGAAGAATGACACCCATTGTAGTCCTACCTATATATGCATACATGCTCCTGAGTACATGTTCACCCATGCACACACAAGCATGCACATGCACACACACACAAATAAGTAACATACTAGAGAGATATCAGCTGTGGGTAGTGACCTCTAGTATGGCTAATTACTGTGATGAGTTTCTGGGAAACAACGGGTAAACGTTGGGGAGCACCACCTTTCAGCAGGAAGAGCACTGAGCAGTCAGACCATGCCAGCCCTAAGCGGGACTCCTTCACCTAGGCCAAGTTTCCAGTCAAGTTTCTCTTTTTAAAAACCCCAGCTGCCATAGCCACTGCGGGCTGAGTACAAATGAGAGTGGGGAGTCTGCATTCTCACTGCCTGTGGGCCTAATTCAATGAGGAGAGCCATCGGCCACCCCTGCTGCAGGAGGCCCCACCCCTGCCCAGCACTCTAGTCTAGACATGTACTGCTCTGCCTTGGCAGATCTTTCAAATCTCTTTGTAATTCTTAGTTGACCACAGGAGCTGTAATGGAAGCCCCATTTTGTCATTGACCATGTAAGACCCAGTCTGAAGCACTTGACATGAGCGATCTTATCTCATCCCCACTTCCAGTGGTTTGAACCTTAAATGTGACCCAAAAGCATCTGGGTTGAAGGTTTGGGCCTGAGTGATCAGATGCAGGACTTTGGGGAGGCTCCTGCATCATGGGATCGCTGACCTTATCAATGGATTAGTCCATTGATGGATTCATAGATTAAGGGCTATTTAGAGGTGGGAGAATGCTCTCAATGAGTATCCTCTCCTTGTCCCCCCACCCCCACTCGCCACCAGGAAGTGAGCAGCAGCTTTTTTCTGCCAGCTTCTGGCCTTGTCACCAAATTAAAAACACTTACGTCAGGTGACTATGTACTGAAACCATGAGCTCCATAAACCTTTTCTCTTTCCAGTTGATTTCGCTCAGGTATTTTATCACAGCAAGGGAAATCTAACACACTGCTTTTCCCTGAATTAGGTACTGCTGTTATCCCCATTTCACAGATGAGAAAATTGGGGATGAGAGCATTTGGGGGTGGAAGCAAGATCTGAAGATTGGCGATTTGAGATCCAGATTTTTGTTGTCACTGTCTCCTCCATCCCCATCACCCACAAAAGGAACTTGGGTGTAATACCATACATTGTGCAATTTTGGCTAAGATACCAAATGTGTTTTCTGGGAATGTAAGAGCCATGTTTATGTCCCAGCTCGGGACAGGACAAGCACAAATGAAGACCAAGGCCTCGGACCACAGAACGCGCCTGTTCCAGCGCCAGGCTTGGCTGTTGGCCTCACATTATCTTCTCTTTCATTTGGGAAAACGCCCTTGCCCAGAAGCCTCAGTAGTGGGGCCACGCGACTCCGATGGACCAGCCTGGCCTTTCTGAACTCCCCCCATGCTTCAAGGATAAGGGGCTTTTGTCCGTATTGTGGGGACACTGAATGCCAAGGCAGCTCTCCGGACAAAAGTATAGTGCTGGAAGTGACTCCCCTAATGGCAACAGGGGAGGGGAATCCATGCTGCAGGACCGTGTTTGAGATTACCAACTGACTCCTTTGCAGGCATCACTCCTAGACCCCCACCCCCACCCCGTGAAAGGTAAGTGGCCCCAAGAGCAACAGAAAGCCCATTTGCAATCTTTAACCGGCTCTGAGGCATTCTCATCTACATAATTTTCCTTTGAAGCCAATAAGTGAAAACCTGGGTCGCAAACAGCCTGCCTCGGAAGAGGCTGGGCAGGCTGTCGAGAAACTGGCACGGAGAGGTGTCAATTCCTACACTGAAATCTGGTTCCTGGGTTTAGAGGAGTTTAATAAGGATATCAAGAAGAGGAAATGCAGATGAGGACACTCCAAGTGGGCTCTGTGGGGAGTCATAAAGGGCCCATTCATAAAAAGTTATGCACGCTTTATGCCTGGATTTTCACACACTGCCCTGGGAAAAAAATGTGATGCAGAGCAAGATGTCTACTTTACAATCTGCCCTAATCCGCTCTCCCTCCTGCCAAAGGGGCATTGACCTGCCTCCTCCCGGCAGATTTCATGGCACTGACCCCTCCCAGGGACCAGCTTAGCCAACACAATGCACTTGTTCCAAACACAAAAATTCACTAACGACTGCATTTGGAAACATCAGAGCAGACCAAATAGTTGGCAAAGAAGGGTGCCTGCAAATGAAGAATGATGGTCCAGGCACCGGGCCATGCCTTAACTGTGTGTGTGAGAGCATGCACGCTCGCACGCTCGCGCGCGCGCGCGCGCGCGCACACACACACACACACACACACGGAGGGAGGGAGAGGGAGAGGGAGAGAGAGAGAGAGAGAGAGAGAGAGAGAGAGAGAGAGAGAGAGAGAGAGAGAGAGAGAGAGAGAGAGAGAGAGAGAGAGAGAAATTCAGGTAAAATATGAGCCCTAATGCCATTCCTCCCAAGAACAATCAACCCAAGTCAAAACCGGTAAACTGGCAAACCGAACAGGTCCTGATCCAGTACTAAGCAACACCGGGATCCCCACTGAGAAAATTCCGACTTGCCATTCAAGCAAAGGGATGCTTGGAAACCAGCCTGTGTCCACTTTCTGGAACGCGCCTTGGCCCTTTTGGGGGAACTTTTGCTCCTTCCTCCCATGGCTTTAGTCGAACCCATTTCTGGGGATGTAGGGCTGCCAATCTTGGCAAGCAAAACTCCAGGAAGCCTGGTTACCTTTGACTCCCAGACAATCAACACATGGTGTATTTTGTCTGACAGCCTGGGATGGGAGGACTTCCAATATTTAGCAGTCACCTGTCCCCAGACCAGGACATTGGAATCTGGTCTAATTTCAGTCACTAGCTAGCCGGGAGGCCTTAGGCACTCCGTGTATGTGGGGAGCTGGGATTTCCTATGCGGTGTGGGATTTGGTGACTTGAAGGTATCTGTCAGGTTGAGGGGATCTGGGGTTCCCTTGTGCCCTTTCCACATAGCTTTTGTAAAACTATTATTGTAAAAGATCCAAACAGTAGAGAAGTGTACAAAACACAACATAAGGCTGCCCACCACCCCCGCACTTCCTTTCTTAGAGGTAACCACTCCATCCCTTAATGAACACGCTTTCCATGTGTTTGGTACTAGACACATGCGGGGCCAAAAGGATCATTCTCTGACCCAGTTTGTGTGGGTTCTGGTTAAGTCGTTTTCCAGGAGTCTCATCCAGAGACATTTTCCAGGAAATGGTGGTGGTCAGCCAAGCTTAGAAACCCCTGTTCCCAGGAATCCAGCCTTACTGGGAGGTGGGCTCGGGTGAGTACGTTTGTGTCTGCAGGAGCATTGCACGTGTGTGTGGATGTGGGTGCAATTGCACGTGTACCCAGGTGCATGCGGGGTCAGAGGTCAACATCGGGTATCTTCCTCACTCTCCACATTATTTTTTGAGACGGGGTGTCTTGCTGAATCCAGACCTCACTGATTCAACTAGATTGGCTGGGGAGTGAGTTCCAGGGACCCACTATTTCCATTACTGCCCCCAGTCCTGGAGACACAGACTCACACTATATAGTGCCTGGCTTTTTGTATGAGAGCTAGGGATCCAAACTCAGGTCCTTATGCTTGTGCAAAAAAGCACTTAGCTCACTGAGTCACCCCCCTGCCCTGCGCCATGTCATTTTGGCACACCTGACCAATGCTGCTTGTGATCTGCATTTCTGACTGCTACTTCCATGCCTGCTTATTTTAGGCAGGAAACAGAACCCAGTGCAGGCGGGCTCTACCCTGTCTTGGGCAGTATAGTCACGTGTCCATGCTGGGGGGGGGGCTTGGTTTGTGTGTCTGGACTATCAGCTACATGATGGATTTCTCCTTAATGATGGCACATAGACCCTGCCCTGGCTCCTCCCCGGTACCTTGGAGTTTCTGAGGACACAAATCCCCACCTGTCTGCACCCTTAGGAATTTAAACTCACCCTTCCACTAGATACAGGTGCCTGTGTGCTGCACAAGCTACTCTCAGTGATAACTGATGTTCCCCATGCAGAAGGCTGCAGTTTCCCTAGAGACTGCCGCGTCTAGTGTGACCATCTTGTCCTGGTCCCCCAGGAGCTGACACAGCATCGGGCCTTCTTTCTCATCACCATCTGCAGCCGACTGCCTGGCGACAGCTCTTTCCAGGTGCATCTGATGGGGGAAGTCTTGTGTATATGTCAATAAAGCACTTTGGCCAATAGGGAAGCAAGACAGGTAAGGTGTGGCTTTCCCACTTGTATGAAGGAATGCCGGGGACGAGTCATCATCCAAGCTTAGCCTTGAGCAGGCCGAGAGGCCATCACACAGACTGTTCCAGCAGTGAGGATACCCTGCTCCTACAGATCATCCCACCGTTGAGGATACCCTGTTCTCATCTGTCCCTCTTCATCTGGTTCTTTGTTGGTCTGTTTCTCTCCACAGCTCCACCATAGCTGGCCTTCTCAGGCCAATGAGTTCCAGCTTTGGCTCCCAAGACCCAAGACCACTGCTCCTCCAGGAAATATTAATCCTCCCTGATCATCAAGAGATCTATTTGGGGAAAACTTTCTCTTTATAGTGTCTTCCTGTGACCTTTCACTCAAAAGTCCAAGCTGCCTTTGGTGGGTGAATCTAACTCTTGGCTAGGCCACAGAAATAATACCTGCCCATCAGAAATTCTGGGAGAGATAAGTAAGCCAAGAACAGAACAGAAACATTAAAAAGTTCCTCTACCATTCTGAAATAACCACTGTGTGCTATTTATGTGTTTGACTTTGACATTTATATTGTAAATTATAAAATGGTTTCTTGCTGTTGGACTCAGCCCACACAACGGTTTAAATGATTTAGTTTGGGACAGCACAGTTAAACTCCTTATTTTATCATTTCAAACCCATTCTGCTCACCTCTGCCTGTTATAGCAGCTAATGTTGCGATTCTCGCACTATACACATCTGCATACACACACACACACACACACACACACACATATATATATATATATATATATATTTGAAATAAGTCTGTTTACTCCATTCTGTGACATACTTTTTTGCATGTTTCAGGGCACCAGAAAATCTCTCTGTATCAATACACACTCACCTCCAACTTTGTTTTTAATGGACTGGAATTTTCTTCTGAAAAGATGTGTCATAATTTACTCAGCTAACCCTACTGTTGAACATTTAAATTGCCTTTGATTGTCCCTGCTGCAGTGAACCTCCCTGCAGCTAGAGCTTTACACACTTCCTTAATTAGTTCCCTAGGAGAAATCCCAAGAAGAGGAATTGCTGGGTCACAGGGTGCTGACAGTTTTTAAAAGCCTTTAACATGTGTGGCCAAATGGAGTGCTCAGAGTTTTACAACGACAAGAGTACTTGAGAGCTTCCTGTGCTGGCTGCCACAGTGGAGCCTTCCAGATAGTAAGAGCATCCCTGAGAACCAGTCCGTCTTTCTTCTCTTAAGGCTGTCTGAAGTCCACTCACCCAACAGGGGGGCCTTTCTCCAGTAACCATCCCGGACCTCCACGTAATCATACCAGCACAGCCGGCTCTTAAACAAATCCATGGATGTAAAATTTAGGATGACCTGTAAAGAATTACCATAAAGTAGGTTTGAATAACAAAGCCTGAAGAGTTCTGAAGGATGCATCTTACATACCGGTGTTCTCGTGTTACTCCTTAGCATTCGGAGCCCTCAGACCACAGTAGGAGTGTCTTCTCCAAACACACACAGGAAACCCCCTGACATCAAATAATAACCCTTAGGCAGGATGGGGAGTAAACAGAAGGAGATGCACCCTTCAGTTCCGTCTGGGGGGGTCTCTTGAACTTTTTAAAGTTGCTAGGTGGTTTACAGAAAGCAAGATCAAGATGCATTAAAAGATGGGCCAGGGTGAGTTGAGACTAGGGATTTGGAAGGAGGTAAGGGGTCAGTGAGGTTCAGAGATAGGAGCAGATCTTGTAACATCATCAATCATTCGGAGGGTCCGGGGTTAGCTCAAGTGCATGTGAACACAGCTGGGATCAACATCCCCTCAGCCATGACCTCCCACTTCTGAAGTGTTGTTGTTGCCCAAAGCCTTCCTGAGTTAGTCCATCCATCCAATTATCCATCCATCCATCCATCCATCCATCCATCCATCCATCCATCCATTACTTTTACTGGCTGGCTCCTTACAGCATGTCACTGTGTTGTTCTTCAATGTCCCTTCCTAAGGCTACTGTTGGGATGATTCCCACACTACCCACAGCTACAACTTCTAAGTCAGTTTTCCATGCCTTATATCTCAGGTTTATCAAACCACCCCAACCCATGCTTAGGAGATCCCTAAAGAAATTTCTGTGCCCCTATCTCATAAGTCGGGCTCTGCTCATTTTTCTAGATTCTCCAAGGCAAGCCCTGTTCCTTTCTCTGGAAGTTACAGAACTTCCAGAGGCCCAGGTGCGTGCCCACTCACAAGTCCTTGCTCAGATGGAACCACCTGACATTTAATCTTTAGGAGCTCCCTCCCTATCCTCTCTCCCTCTCAGAGGTGTCTCAGTCAGACATCGCAGCTCCACCCCCTCACTGACTCTAAAATTCTGAGGAAGTGGTTGACTTCTGGAACCTTTTTTTCTCACCTGAAAAACAATATGCACACTAGCAGGCTGTGGAGGAGTCTGTGAGAGAAATTGTACACAGAGGGACTCCTACTGTGTTTGGCATACAGCAAGTACTCCATAAACACAAGTCAGACCACACTGAGTATTCCCTTAGCATATCACAACTGGTGCCCCACCACCCCCACAGGCTTTCTTTCCATCCTGATCATTGCTGAGAGTGCCCATCCCTTCCCTGGGGCCAATTCCCACCCAGGCAGATTCTTTCTCAGAGCCCAGTGGTCCCCCAGGAAATGGAGAGCGAGTGAGTATCAGAGAATAACAGATGCGGTCGGTGCATGAGTGTCATGGACATGTCTATCAGACTCCTAAGGGAGTGAGGGAACCAGGCTGAGTAGCATCTTAAGTTTGGGGTGTCCCTGGGTTTCTCTCAAGTCTGCATCATACTGGTGATGAGGTGGTGGGGTGCAGGAATGCTTAGAAGGATTCTTTAGTCTTTGCTCTTTTAAGACTGCAGTGAAGAAATGTTAGTAAAACTTCCTTGGAAACACATTCATGCTCTAACTGAGAGGGATAATTATTCAGGCTAATTATTTTAAGTACGTTAGTGAACCATAAAGACCATTGGGGGGAAATGATGAGCGAGAGGTGATGTGGGGATCCATCAAGTTTGCTAATTACCAGCAGCTCTGGCGAAGGCTGGGTGAGGCAGAGATGGGAATAATTGCAGGAATTTCAATGATGTACATTCTCTGTGCCCCCAGTGAGCACTAATAATTGAGGCTTAGTGAAGCTTCCATGGTTCAAACATATCACATAGACCTGTTGTGCAGCAAGCCAACAATGTGGGGATGGCCAGGCCTCCTCCTCGTCTTCCTTCCTGTTAGCACCTCTAGCAGGCATGGCCGTAGCCACGCAAAAGGCAAACAGTCAGGTTCAAGACGACGACCACAGTGTGTTTGCTTGCGTGATGGTGCATGCCTCTAAGTGTATGAGTGCACATATCTGTGCACACGCATGCAGAGGGTAGAGGGGGTGTGTGTCATTGTCTTCCTCTGTCACCCTTATTCCCTTGAGACAGGATCTCTCACTGGTCAAGAAGCTTGCTGACTTGGCTAAGCTCGTTTGCTAGCGAATTCTCAGGATCCCCCACTTCTGGGGTTCCAGGATGTGTAGCCATTCTTCTCTTTTTGTTGGGGCACTAGAGACTTGCACTCAGGTCCCCATGCTTGCACAGCAAGCCATCTTACCCACTGTGCAGTCTTCCAAGCCTTGGCATTGCCCTAGCACTTAGTTGTGAGAGTGCATGCAGGTGTGCAAATGTGTATGTGTGTGAGCTTTGTCTCCTTTGTGTAACATGATGATGGTCCACTGTTCAGGTTTTTAGTCTCTCAATGGGGTTTGTCCACTTCCCAGCTCTCCATCAAATTTAGTCACCTTGAGTAAGTCCAGTTCTCTATTGATAAGTGGGGTGTCAGCACCTAGCATGTGGGGTTAATGCAAGATGCCATTAAGTGACCTATAAGGCTACTGTGAGAAGAATCCAGTCTGTAAAAAACGTTTTCAATTGACCCTAGCTGTTACTAGTTCTCACATAAGGAGTATCTGCAGACTGGCTATGAACACCTGAGAAATATCCAATGTATCCAACGGCCTCCAGTTACCCAGATGTCACTCTACCCTCATATATCCATATATCCATTCCACAAACACTCATGTACCATGGCTGTGCCAGGCAAAGTGGGATGCTGGGACTGATGTGGACAATTTCTGTCAGTGTGCTATCTCAGTAGATATGATACTGAAACATGCTGTGGCATGTGTGATTCCAGAGGGGTCTGGGGACACAGGGGCATCCCCTCACCTAGACCCAAGAAAAGAGGGCTGATCTGGTCTGAGTCAACTTGAAGAATATCTGGATTTGTAAAAAGAAGATAAAAATTGGAGAGATGACTCAGTGGTTAAGAGTGTGTTCTCCTCTAGCAGAGGGCCCACGACTCATGTTGGGTGGCTGATAACTGCCAGGGAATCTGGACTTAGGAGATCTGGATCTGCTCCAGCCCCATTCTTGACTCAATGGACACCACACACACACACACACACACACACACACACACACACCCTTCAACACACATATGCATATAATTAGAAAATAAAATAAATCTTTTAAGATAAACTTTGGAGTTCAAAGCCCAGTTCTTTAATATGTGATTGGACAATTTCTCTCCAAATACCAAACACAGAATGACATAATGGTACCATATAGTGCAGCAGAACATATCCACCTTGGACCAAGGAGAAGAGGCCCTGACCCTGAGCTCTGCTCCAGGGGGCCATGGGATCTTCAGGGTCAAAGGAACTTATAAATACAGGGCTTGCTAGGCCCCTAACATCTTCCTCCAAAGACACAAGGCCTTGGCATTCCCTGAGCCCACTTATAGGACATGTCATGGCTTCCTTCCTGGATCTGAGAGCAGACACACATGTCTGGACAGCCCACAGAGGGCAGCCATAGAGCAGCTGCTTGCAAGGCTGGAGTGAATGAATGATACTCAGGAGTGTGACTGGGGTTGACACACAGGGGCATGTAGAGGGCTAGAGAAGAGAAGTCAACTGTGTTGGCCACACTGGCACCTATCAGACGCACCACTCCAAGGTGTCAAGAAGTTTTATACTGGACACTTGCTCTCTAGAGTATTATAACAATGTGTTAGCCTAGGTAAAGGGCAGATTGAGGTTTTTCTGACAGGTAGCTTAATTCATAACCTATGGACACGTAGTGCACCCATTTGTGAGGGTAAGATTGGCTGAGAAGTCATAAAACAATGAAAGCAGGGCAAGCAGTGGCACTCCTGGCGTTCTGTGGGCACTCAGAAAAGCTGCTGTCATTATCAGTACAAAGGCTGAGTCCCACCACACCCGACCCAGAGTGCCACACTGTTCCTGATGGGGGTCCAACCTACCTTTTAAAAATGCTGTTCACTGTATATGTGTATGGGGTGCGGTGTCATAGCTAGGGGTGTGTCCCAGCATGCAACGATCCAATCAGTAGAGTTAATGGTCTCACCTACCTTTTCCCCAGGGGTGACAGAGATCCTCCAGACACAGTGGGAATAGGAGGGGTAGCCGTTTGGGAAACCAGGTGCCGAAAAGTTTCCGGTTGTGTCCTGCAGTGTTTCCCCACATGCTGCATAAACAAAACAACAACTCTGAGACAGGTACACACAAGGCTCCCACCCCTCCCCCGCCCCCAGCTATCCCTGCCCAGGCCTGTGAAGTAAAAGCCCTTTCCCAAGCCAAAGCCCGGTGAATGATGCTTGAAGAGTGAGCCAAATAGATGGTCATTTTTCTGGCCAGGGCAAGCAAAAGCAGATCTTGATGCCAAGGAGTAGCACCCAGGGCTTCTGCCAAAGGCTCTCAGTATGACTTGATCTGGGTTCAGATCTCAGTTCTCCAGTCACGAGCTGGATCAATTCAGGGGGTCAGTGAGATCGCCTGTGTCACACAGACTGGGTCCACTTGGGGCTTGACCGCCCAGAGAGTTACTGAGATTGTAAGACTAATTTACTGATTGATCGATGAGAGAGGTTGAGCCCAGAGCCTCAGGCATGCTAGATAAGTGCCCTAACATTGAGCTACAAATCTCCCAGTCGCACTGGAGCCTTCACAATTGCTAACAAGGACATCTGTAGCAGGGAGAATACAGAAGTGTAAGTCAGTAAAGCCAAAAGGAAACACGCTCTGAAACTCACTTATGCCCCATTTAAATTCTTTTCTTTTTGCTCTCTACCTCTGAGAGAGTTACCAAACAAACAAGAAAGCAGAGGAAACACAAGGGTACAGGCAGGTATACGAGGATGGTCTACAGCGTGCTCTTGGACCTGTTCGTCTTTGAAGGGTGCCCAGTAATGGATGTGTCTAGAATATAGACCCTGCATGAGAGAAAAAAATACTTCCTCCAATTTGTCCTTAAGAGAAATGAAGAGGGAGGAATTCCTGTAGCTTGGGAGCAAAAGACATTTGTATTTCCTGAACCCTGGGGATAGACACCCCTAAAATACAAAGGCAGTCGCTTGCTGAGTGGCTGCCCCCGACCCCACCATGGGGCTACCCACAAAGTGCAGGGAATGGGCATGCTTAAGCATTTCCTGCCACCTCTGCTTGGCCACTGCCCTAGCTTGCAATGGCCCCTTGGAGCACTCTCTGCTACTCTGGAGCTATGGTAAAGGGCATGTGGAGGGCTGCCCATCATCTGCCTCAGGAAATCCCAGCTATCAGAGCCTCAGGATCACATTACAGAACAACTGCCAAGCATAGTGAGGCTCACTCCCAGCAGCCAACACCCCCGAGGCTTTCATGGAAATTATTTTAGAATAATCATCAGCATTCTGCAAGAATAGATACATTACTGTGTGCTCCAGGATATTTACCAGCTGCAGGGAAGCCTTTGGGGAAATAAGCAGCATATACAGTGTAACTAAATAAATACTATGGCATTTCCCAGGGAATGCTTAAGGTTTCCCTTTACATTCAGAGGGTTATATGATATGCATGTCCTGTATTTCATGCCTCTGGATGACTGAGGGCTGGATGAAAACATTTCCTCATTTCATAAGGATGCAGCCTACACAGCATTTTTCAGTCCCCATGATCCTGCATTGTAGGGCAATGTCACAGCCTACATTTTCTCCAATGGCCCCAGTTTCAAATATTCCACCATGAATTAAAACACATCTTGTTTGAAGGATGTGGAGAAGGCTACTAGAGCCATTGGTGATGGAACTTCTGTCTGCCCCCCCCAAGCCCATAAGTCCATTCTGTTCCAGTAGTAGCACAACCTTGACAACCACAATCAATACTTCGAAGTGCCTTAGGGCACTGAGCCCAGAGTGACATGGAATGAAAAGATGTGAAAGCTGGTTAGTTTTAACTGTCCACTTGATACAAAACAGAGAGTCCCGACGAGGAATTATCTAGACCAGGTTGCCCTGTGTGCTTGTTTGTGGGAGGTTGTCTTGATTGCTATCTGATGTAGGAAGACCCAGCCCAATGTAGGTGGCACCATTCCCTAGGCAGGGCATAGGTCCCAAGCTATATAAGACAGGAGAAAGCTACATGAGACAGCATGTGGGATCCAGACATTTATTTTCTCTCTGCACTTGACTGTGACAATTTAAGTTCCAGTCTTGTCCTCCCCACAATAATGGGTTGAAACTTGAAACTCTGGGACCAATAAACCCTTCTCTGACATGGATTATTTTTCCTATGTATTTTATCACAGCAAAAGAAATGAAACCAGGATAGAGATAAGGGCAAAGAGGACCATTCTGAGGAGAAGAGACTGTAGCCCTAGATCATGACAAGCCTTTGCTTCACCCCAAGATACTCTCTGGTCTTTAATATCATACGGCTGCTAACCAACCCTGAGGCCGCAGCACCGAGATTTGCTCTGACTGTAGACCCCTATCTCCCCCGAAGCATTTCTCTCACTCTCTGTCTTCTGGCTAGAAGCTCTTGGTTCTTCCTTGGCCATATTCACTTTCCCCAGTTCCCTAGAAAGAAGAGGAGCTCCCGGAGCAGTGGCTCATACTGAAGTGCATTCCGTTTCCCCTCTTCCCTCTGCACTCAGGGCTTTGCCAAGGAACTTCAAAAGCCTCCTCTAGCCAGGCCGTGGGCTCTGAGCCTGCTGTTCTCCAATTCAGTACTCTGCTCTGTACTGCACACTCCCTAGCAAAGACATAAGAAACCACGGCTCCCACGGAGTGGTCTCTTCAGTTCCCACATCCAGCAAGAGATGGGGTTGCTTGCACACAGCATGCATTGTGTGGCGTGGGGTGCTAGGAGTTGCTGAGAATCCCTGTGGCTCACAGTTACCTGGGCATTTGTACAGCTTCCTGGCTTGAGCTATATCTCCCTGACTGAGCCGCACTCGTTGGCCAATGGTTGGCCTGACGCCATTGTCGTCTCGACGGGGGAGGATGGTGTCTAAGAAAACTCCTCTACAGGAAATAAAAAAAGGAGAGAGGGAGAGAGACAGGAAGAAAAGTCAAGGCTGCCAGACTGTGTGCAAGGAGACTCCCAGTTTTCATTTCTTCCCTCCTTCAACATTCCTATCCCGATCATTTGCCACCCCCTCCCCCTGCTGGCTTGACTGAGTGGTTTCTTTCCTATCCTATCCTATCCTATCCTATCCTATCCTATCCTATCCTATCCTATCCTATCCTATCCTATCCTATCCTATCCTATCTTATCCTCTGCCTACTCATTTCCCAATGGGAAGGAAACTGCCAAGTTGAAAAATATACCCTAGTCCAGTAGTCTGAAGCCTGTCTTACTTATGCGTACTGAGTACTTCCATGAAGCCCTTGACAGGAGCTCACCCTGGGACCATCATGTTGCACAAACCAGGGACGGCCATTCAGAGATTACATTATGTGTGGCACCCCCTGGAGTTGTGCACTAGGCAGTACTTTGTGTAGATTAGTCTTGGAGCTAGCTGCTCCAGGAAGAGCCTGGGAACTGGTCCAGCATATAAATCAAGAACACTAGAGGTCATCAAAAGATGCCAGGCTGCATATTCCCACCCGAGGCCTGCCTCTGTTGTGTAGGTTAATTTGAGATGCCCCTTCCCTTCTTTGAATTTTTCTGAGCCTCAGTTTACGCCACTGTACAATAGAAGGTTGACTGGCTGGTCGTGGTGGCCCCTCCGAGCCCTAGCACCTTATTCTATAGTTGTGTGACTAGGATTTCTAAAACACAAGAGGACCCCCAGATGTCTGGCTGAGCCCTGGCCTAGTCACACCTCGCTGCAGAATCCCAGCCCCCTCCTCTGCCTGTAGACCCTCTGTTTGGGCCTGTCCTACGTGTTGACCCTTCGTCAAGCATCATCTGCTCCTTTCTTAGCCAGATTCCTGAAGCATTGTCTCCGTTCCTTTTTGACATTCAGCTTTCATTCAGTCTTCTGTTGTGATTTAACTGGACTGGTGAGGTCACGTGTACCTCCAGCAGGATCGTCTCAGTCTTCATCTGTCTCTCTGTAACTCTGGAAACTGTCAGCGCCTCTTTCTTCACTGTCCTCTCCTCCAGTCCCCAGGCATTGCTGCACAAACTGGGAGAGAGCTACCACTTCCACTTCCTGCTTGGATGAGGCCCCTGCCTCTGCTCTGTCCATGCTACACCACCAGAGAATTGTTTCCAGTTCAGAACCCCAGTACCTGGTACCACCTCCCTGTGCTGTACCATGGGCCGAGATCCTACTCTAAATTAGGTTCACACCTGGATTTATCCTGCCCTTTGCTTGTCCCCTGACCTTTGTCCCGGAGATTGACTCTGAAAGGGCTCTCAGATGCTCCCTGTTCCTCACTCTCTTACTGAACCAATGACCAAGTTCTGTCTAGTGTCGGCATCCCTTGAGCCCAGGCCCTCTTCTGGCTCCCAGACCGCCGTCTGAGCTCACATGATCGCCACCTCCTCCTGAATTTTCTTCAGACGTTTCCTGACCATGTCCCTCTCTGTGGGCTCAACCTCCTTTGCCCCAGCCCTACAATGCTGTGATATGGCCACCCCAGCAAGCAAGGGTGGTGTGTTCTTAGCAACTTCCTGCCACCTGGCTGTCCTCTGCTCATGACTTCCGACTTCCTCTCCAGCCGTACCCCGTAATCTCCTTCCAGTCCTCTCCCCAGGCTACCCACACCCCACACCCTGTTGTTTTGTCTGCTCCCAGGACTCCTGTTCATTCTCCAGATCTCAGTCAGCTGTTCCTCCCTCTTAAAAGCCTTCCAGGACCCTTTCTACCCCTCCCATTTGGTGTTGCCCTATTCTCTTGACTAGTTTCTGTCATACTTTTATTTTTTTTAATGTGTTGGTGATGTTTTCTCCTCTGCCAAAAGTAAGTTTCTCAAGACTGGATTTTTCCTTTCTGTCCTTACAGACTGGGGGTGGGGGTACAGGCTCCACCCATTTCTTAAATTATACAAACACAACAAGGAACTATTATTCAAAGAACTTCACAAAATTGTTACTGACATCCAAAAGAATCAGCTTAAACATGTACAGCTTAGCTATTAGCTTCTCTCTCTCTCTCTCTCTCTCTCTCTCTCTCTGTCTCTCTCCTTCCCTCCCTCTATCTCCCACCCCCCACCCCAGCTTTGTTATGTCCTAAATTCTCTGCCATACTAGATGATACACATCTCCATTTCTTCCTGCTTACATCACCTTGTTATCCTTTTGGCTGCGAAGTGCTTGTTTTTCTCAGATTCCCAGCACACTTTCTCTCCAATGAGCACAAGAGAATCCAGACCATCCGTCTGCAGGGCCTCGCGGCCTCCTTTGCCCAACGGCTAACCTCCGCCCTGACTTCCTCTGAGACTCTTGTCCTTATCTCCCAGAGTCTCTCAAGGCACCCTGTACTCCCCTCCTCATACCGGGTTTGAAATCCTAAATCATGACTTCTAAGACAACTAAAATTCTGAAATCAGTTACCTGCTACCCGACAGACAGAAATTTCTGCCCTAACAAAGGACATGGCCCCCTGTGACAGTCTCTCTGAAGGAGGGATTTTGCAGCAAAAAACAAAGGAGTAGCCTGGGCTTAGGTGATGTCAGCAAGGCCATCAGGAGGCCTGACATGTTTATGTCATGTTCCCTCCTCCATTATTCTTAGGGCCACCCTATGAGTCAAACCCTTCCTGTCACTTCATCTTCATAAGGCCCTGGGAGGCAGGCCTGTTGTCACCAGGCTCCCTGAGCGACTTGGTGTGCTGACAGAGCCAGTAGTGGAGAGCCAGCCCAGCACCTAGGCGGCCTGAAACCTCTGCCAGCCATCTTCATCCTTCTGGCTGGTGGGTCCCAGGGCTCAGGAGCAATAGGCTTCCGTGCACAGTGAGTGGTGGCATGAGTACAAGGGAGGTTTGGGACAAAAGCAGCAGGCTCAACACTGGCTCGCACCCAGTCTTTGGAGCTAAGACATCAATGCAATTCCCCGAGTTACTGACAGGCCACTGAGCTCTGGAGAATGTCCACTCTCAGAGCCTCCCTGTGTGTATGTAGCACTGTAGCAATGCTCCTTTACCCTTTCTGGATTGACAGTGCCCAGCATTGACTTCAGGCTAAGCTGGGAAGGTTTGACAGATGTCTTAGGGGATAAAATTGTCAGCTCCTACTTTTCCAAACAAAGACATCCCTGTAACTGAGAACTGTCTTCTCGACTCCTGGACCTGTGCCCAGCAAAACTTCTAAGGACACCACTCCCACCAAGGGGGAAAGGAGAAAAAAGGCAATAAAACCAGAGAGGACAGAGCTGGAAGGAGACAGCTCAGGTCGTAAAGAGACTCAGAGACTGCATTTCACATCAGCAGGAAGGGCTTTATCCCACAGGCCTGTGTTCTGCAGGCAGACGATTGGCTGCTCTTTCACGAGCTCAAAGGAGAGGTACAGTGCAGCCCCAGGGGAGAAATGACCAAGAGAAATGAGTTGCAGTTGGAGTAGAGAAGCCTCTGACAATGAAAAAAAAGCCCACCAGTAAGAGCCCATGGTATAAAACAGCCTTCTAAAACTTCATACTGAAAACCATCACAAATGAAATGCAGGCATCCACCCTCAGCAACATGTGTGTGTGTGTGTGTGTGTGTGTGTGTGTGTGTGTGTGTGTGTGTGTGTGTGTGTGTGTGTGTGTGTACCTGTGTTGGGACATGGGGATGGGGGAGAGTCCAAGCTGTGAGGCAGGAGTTGATAAGAGGCCTGTGGTAGATGGTAAATAATACACTTCATCTCATAGCAACATCCCCTTGAAAGGCAAAGTTGTTGTTTCTCCCATTAAGAGGCAGGATGTATTTCTTCACTTCACCTGATAGGAGGTGAAATAAGTGATGTCATGCAAGTTCTAGATCCTGGCCCTTTGCAAGCTTGTAGCTACCCAGGCTGCCCTCAAGCAGCCCTGAGTCCTCAAGCAGAGAAGAGCCTGGCCAAACGTACTGAATGGTGACAGGCCATAGGAAGGAGGAGCATGGGCTATGTGTGACTGGCCAGCTTCGACTCCCCAGCCCAATTAAGCTGCCAAATGACTGGCAAGACCAGAGAAGGATGAGCTGGGCTGGCCCAGGGTAAAACAACAACCCAGTGAGTTGTAGTTTTAAGACCCTAAGTTTGGCAGGCAAGTTATGCAACAGTAGGTATTGTAGCAGTGACTAAAGTCTGCCTCAGGGAAGCCGCTCTGCACCGGCTGTCCATCATGTGCTAGCGCTGTTCCTTGCCAATCTCCCTCCTAGGCACTTTGGATGAGGTGTGATCATTTCATGAGTCTGGCCCAAAGATTTCCTCTGGTCTGTGTTGATAAGATAGCTCATGATGACTTTGGGGTTAGAAAAGGTTCCCTCTGGAGGGGCAGAAGCAATGGGATTATGAGCTAGAGATCACAGGAGGGGAAAAGATGCTTAGGAAAAGAGCAACAAAGTTAGGAAAAACAGGATGAGCCTCTGCTTGGCCTCTGGCTCCAGAACGTCGTGCAGTGGGTTGCATATAGCCAGTGAGAGGAAGGTGGCTTCATTCATACTGCTCTACACACCCTCATAGGAGGGACTTCCAGTCTCCCTTCTGGAGAGGAGCTTGCCACATTTGTAAGCATGTGCAAAGACTTAGAAAGAATAATGGACCGGATTTCCCTCACCCATGCCTCTGCGATGCAGTTCTCTAAGTCTCTTTGACCTCATACATTCACTTAAAACTTAACAAGAATCTATCGGATACCTAGGGTGTGCCCAGTATCCAACGGGATGCTACACATTAGATGGGAACGAGACAGTGTTGTGTCCCAGGCTCACAGTCTACTTGGGGAGGAAAGAATGTGAAAGATAAACAGAGAGATGACTAGCTGTTAAAGGCTAGTGTGGTAGTTTGAAAGAAAATGGCCCCCAAAGGGTGTGGCACTATTAAGAGGTGTGGCCTTGTTGGGGGTAGGTGTGGTCTTGTTGGAGGAAGTGTGTCACTGTGGAGATGAGCTTTGAGGTCTCATATATGCTCAAGCCACACCCAGAGAGACAGACCACTTTCTGCTGCTTGAAAGACAAGATGCAGGATTCTCACTACTGCTCCAGCACCGTTTTGCCTGGATGCCACTATGTCGCACCATGATGATAAGGGACTAAACCTCTGAAAAGGCAAGCCACCACAATTACGTGTTTTCCTTCATAAGAACTGCCATGGTCATGGTGTCTTTTCACAGCAATAGAAGCCCTAACTAAGACAGCTAGGCTTACAACCAAAAATCATAAAATGATATGTGTAGTTACAGAAGCTACCAAAATAAGACTCAAGGCACAAGCTTCTTACTTGGGCCAATGTGATGTTGTGTCCTAGACAATGTTGATACTGTCTCTACACACCAGCCCATAAGTTCCTGGTTAATGGGTAGCACTAGGTTGTTCCCTGTATGCTTTCCAAGCTAGGTCAACCCTGACACCTGCCTTCCTACCACCCTCCCTCATCCATTGTTAGGCTTTCCTCTTGACCATGCCATAGGCTTCCTGGGCCTTGCTCCCTCTTGTAGTTATCTTCAACTATCAGCTTGACATAGACTAGAGTCATCCGAGAGAATTACCTAGATCAAACTGGTTGCTGGGCATGCATGTAGGAACTTTGTTGATTGTTAATTGATGTAGGCAGATACAGTCCATGGGTGCCACTACTTCCAGGAAGGTGATCCTGGGCTGTTGGAAGAAAGCTAGCTGGGGGGTTGGAGAGAAGGTTCAGTAGTTAAGAGAATTTGCTCATCTTTCAGAGGGCCTATATTTGGTTCCCAGTACCTGCATGATGGCTCACAACAGCCTGTAACTCTAGTTTTAGGGGATCCAGTGCCCTCTCTTGTCTCTGAGGACACCAAGCATGGATGTGGCACACTTAGATACATGCAGGCAAAACATGCATAATGAAATCAAAGTCCATAAATCCAGTAAGACGCAGAGACAGAGAAAGTATGGGCCTATGGAGTGAGTCAAAAAACACTATAGATCTATGGTTTCTTCTTCAAGTTCCTACTCTGACTTCCCTTGATGACGAACTATGACCTGGAGGTATAAGTCCATTCCTCTAAAGTTGCTTTTGGTCAGAGATTTTACCATAGCAACATAAAGGAAAGTAGAATACCCCTAGCCAGAATGGAGCCTTCAAGTCTAGTTTGCCAGTCTAGAAAAGGAAGCCCCTTCACTTCAGATTTCCTGTGTGGCAATGCACAGGGTCGCCTGCCGTCTCCCCACTCACCTGCCTCAGACTGAGAGATTGCTGCACAATGACTAGGACTAAAAGGGGGCTGGGGGCAGGATTTGCTATTTGTGCTGACAAAGCCTTCACACCCTACTGGCATGTATTCTGAGCACTGGATTTATTCCAGACTTCAACATAGCTCGCTGTCTTCCCACCTAACCCTTGCTGGTGTGTGTGTGTGTGTGTGTGTGTGTGTGTGTGTGTGTGTGTGTGTGTGTTGGAAACTACCTTGAACCTTTCTGGGAGGAAGGATTAGATAAATGAACAGGCAATTATGAACAGACAGTTATAAGGGGATACTTAATAACCAAGAAGATAAAAATATTTGCAGTGTCACCTTTCATTTTTAAGTGATTTCTGGGAAAACCTACCAACCTACCAACTTGGGCTCCTGGGGATGCTCTTCTGTGCATACAACACTTACATGACCTAGCCACAGGAGCCATATGGAGAATACTTAACATCTCCATGTACAGTCCCACACAGGGGACAGACCCCAAGGGTGCCTGAGGTAAACACCAACTCCACCCTTCTCTTGTGAGTAGCATCTGTTCTCCGAGACCTGAAAGTGGAGATCCTTCATCCTTGTTCTCACTCTGATCTGGGTACCTGTAATCTCTCAAGATGTCTGGAGCTTAGTTTTCTTTGTCTCTAAAAAGAACCCATGACTTACAGCCTTTCCATCTCCAACACAGCCTAGCTTCCAATAAACAGAGACTCTTCTAGGACAATGGCAAGCACTTTCTAATTTGTTTAGGATGTGTATTAGAGAATCCCCCACCCAATTGGAATTTTACAAAAAGCCTCTAGGTTATTCTCCCAGATGACCTCTCCATAATTTCTCTTTTCCAGTTTGCTCCTTGTGACATGAGGGCATGATGGAACGCCAGCTTCACAACGGGACTCAATCTTATTAGCAAGAACATGATTAGATTGTATTTCACTGCAGCCCAGAGGCCACTGTATTTCAAGGATGGACAGGCCAGCCATTGAAGGAGCATGCTGAGACCTGCTCACTCTCCACAGACCTCAGAACTCCCAAGACCCAAGCCTGAGGCAGGTGCAATAAAAACAGACTTGGGGGGTGGGGTGGGGCAGCAAAGGTTCCGACCTTGAGAAGGTGTTCCGGGCATAGTGCATGATGCTGTCGAAGTCGTAGGTCTCTCCCAAAGAGCTCACCTCGCCGGCCTCCATTTTTAAGAAATTATACTCCTGACCTATAACACAATACTCTGTTAAGAAATATGGTAATACGGCAGTACACAAAAGGAAATTGTGGGGAGGAGGGGGGCTCAGGCAACTTCCGAGAGCTCCTGTTGTCTGAGTGACCAGGTAATGGGACTTGCAAGCTTATGGTGACTGGATGTAATAGACTAGGAATTCAAAACATTGGGCAAGCTTTGTGTTCTCTCTGTCCCACTATCCAACACCCTTCCCCAAACGCCACTTGAAACTTCCAAATGTGCTTGCAGATAGATTAGCACTCAATCTGCTTTGTTCAAAATATGTAGTTTAAAAGAAAAAAAATCTCCAAAATTCTGATCTTACAATTTGAATAAAATAAATCAGAAGGTTAAATCCCAAATGTGTGTGACTTGGGTCCTCCGAAGTAGGCTTAAAGCAATCTGAGGAGCTTGGTTGGCGATGCGCTCGCTTCGGATGCCTGGCTTGAGTTCAGCTCCCGGAACCCATGTAATAAAATTGGCTTGGTAGTACCTGATTGTAACTCTAGCCTTGGAAGCAGAAATGGGTGGATCCCTAGGGCTTACTGACCCTCTTGGCAAGCTCAAGGTTATCTTGTCTCAAAAAATGTGGAAAGGCATCCAGAAACAGCACCCAAGGTTGTTCTCTGATCTCCACATGCCACAAACATGTGAATACAACATGTACACATACATACACAAGGCAGATTTAAGGCAGCTATATAACTCAGCTAGCTACTTTTATGATCAATATCAGTTTTTTGTTTGTGTTTCTTTGTTTTTAAGACAAGATCTCACTGGTTGACTGAGATAGATTTGAACTCACTCATAGTCCAGGTGGGCCTCCAACTTGTGATCCTCCTGCCTCAACTTCTCTAGTGCATGGCTTATAAGCAAAAGCAAGTACTACCTCACCAGGCTCCAATACAAACTTTTACACCAACTTACTTGACATGAAAAGATGATACATGTTTGATCTGTGCCTGCTGCTCGCCTTGGGGCAGAACGCTTCCAGGCAGGGTACTGTTTCCATATGCATATGTGTTTAATTGCGTTGCAGTTTCAAAAGGCCACATTGCATGGCAAAAACGACTCATGAAAACTGCTAGGAACTCCTCTTTTGGATAATCAGCCCTGACTCTGCTTAGGAACCTGGGTTGGATTTCATTTTCCTTTACAGCATGAAGAATCATGCGTTCTTTCCTGTTGTAAGCCACAGGTTTCAGCAGATGTGTCTCAGGAATGCCACAGGTGGCTGGTGACAGGGCTCAAACAAGTGCCTACAAAGTTGGGTTATTGCCTCCGATTAGCTATGAGCCTAAACAGCTCCCCGAAGGCCCTCCTGTCACTGTCCCAAGCCTAGGGATGTTCAACTTTGCTGGCTTCTAGACTCTTCTCAAGATTTCTCACCTGGCTGGATGTTTTCTCTGATGATCGTGACATGCTGGTCTCGGTCCGGCCGAGTGTGTTCATGCCAGAACCCAACCACATGGCCCAGCTCATGAGCCACAATGCCAAACTTGTCACAGTTTTTCCCAATGGATATGGCCTGTGGGCCTCCTCCTCGGCGTCCCACGTAGGAGCAACAGCTAGGAGATAGAAATATGGAGATTAGCAGGCCTGAGGCTATCAAAGTAGAGAGGCAAGTGCCATCCCACTTCATCTTGCCACCCATGGGTAGAGCTGTATTAAAGGAAGAAAAAGAGGAAGAAAGGAAAGAAGGCGGGAGGGAGGGAGGGAGGGAGGAAGGGAAGAAGGGAGAGAGGGAGGGAAGAAAGGAAGGAAGGATTGATTTCAGAGGTGGAAACGTTTTAATTGTCCAACTCCCCCCAACAAGATCACTATTCCCCCAAAATATATCTTGGCCTTTTGGTGATCACAGATCCCGTTTAGAACCTGAAGAGAGAACTGGCCTTCCTATCCAGAATGAAGCTTGCCCACATCCATCTCTCTTCTAAGTTGCATTTCCACAGGGCCTTTTTTGAGGACAAGAAGAGACAAGAAGTAGGTGGCTAAGTTCTGGTAAGGGTGTCCCTGAATGTCATTGTTAGTGACCTTAGGTCAATGACTAGGTCCAGGTATTTTTTCAAAAAATATTTATTCATTATTCCTAATATACTGGTTTTATGAGACTTTTATTATTGCTTTGTTGTTGAATGGAGTGTGGGGGAAGGATTGGTGTGTGTGTGTGTGTGTGTGTGTGTGTGTGTGTGTATGTGTAGTTTGTAGTGGCCTCAAACTCATGATGTAGGAAAGAATAACTTTGAACTCTTGGTTCTCTTGCCTCCATCTGCTGGGATGATAGTAGGCAGGCACCACCACTCCTGGTTAGATCTAGCTGTTTCCAAACATCACTTCCGTCAGCTTGATACAGCTCTGTATCCTTTGCAACATCTGAAATTTCTTCATAAAATCAAGTTACTTTTCATGTATATTTTATTGTGGAAAAAACTCAAGTCTGATAGAGACCAAACATTAAAATTATTACATGTGTGAACATAAGATGCATCAGAACTGACCAAATATGGCTGCTGGGTTGCTCAGTGCATGAAGATGCTTGCCATCAAGCCTGACACCCAGTGTTTCTTCCCTGGAACCCTCATGGTAGAAGCAAAGAACTGACTCCTGGAGGTTGTCCTCTGACCTCTGTGTGCACACCTCAGTATGTGTGCCATACACCACTCCACAAATAAAGAAATGAATGATAAATTAAAAAACATTAGCGAATGAGCGATTTTAAAGTAGGGAGCAATTTTGAAAATGAGTTGACTTTGCTAGTAAATTATTTTATGTTGTAGAAAGGTGGCTTCCTAATACCATCTGCGCCAGCGCGCGCGTGGTTATGTGCACGTGTGTGATAATACATTAATACAAAGATCTTACTTTACAATGTATATAGTCTATAATGTATAATACATTAGATAATACATGCATGGATTTATCAGAGAATGAAGTGGATGCTAGGAATACAGCTTAGATGCTCAAGCTTCCAGGGCAAGCGTTCTCACACACTGAGGTAGCTCTCTGGTCCTTTAGTACTATTGTTCAACTATGTAGCCTAGGGTGGCCTAGAACTCATTATATAGCCCAGGCTGACCTTGATATCAGCCTCTCGACTTCTGGAGTGCTGGGATTACAGGTGTATGCCACTGCACCAGGTTTATCAGACTATAATAAAGGCATAAAAAAGAAATCAAAGGCGCTGGAGAGATGACTCAATGGTCAAGAGCATTTGCTGCTCTTGCAGAGGACCTGGGTTTAGTTTCCAGCACCCAGGTGGCATCTCAAAACTGCCTGTGATATCAGCTTCCAGGAATCTGATGCTTTCTTCTGGCCTCTGAAGACATCAAGCCTTCATGAGGGGCAGGCACATTTTACGTGCAGGCAAAACACTCATACACCTAGGATACATTTTTTTAAAACGGAATTAAAACTTTCAATTATCTCATCACCCGCATTTTATTTATTGAGTATATAAGAATACATGTAAACATAACATGTTCATGTTGCAAAAGACTGACTTTCTCATTCCTACACCCAATCCATATCCAAAGGTAACAAAAAAGTTATATTTTCCCATTATGGAATTCTATCAGACGAAGCATGAATAAAGAACATGTTTAACTTTGTATTCACTTTGTGATCAGTCACCTTAGTCGAGTCTGTTAGGTTTTAAATTTCTCTGTTGACTTTCTGGGTTTCCAGGCACATGGTCACATTAACTCTCAATAGTGCAACCTTGACTCTGTTCCCGCCAATCTTCACAGTGTTAATTTCACTCTCCAGTCTAGGCATATTAGCATTTCCAGAGCAATGTTAACTAATTGCAGAGATCAGAAATCTCTTTGAATTGTCCTCAATTCTAACAGAAATACTTCTAGGATCTATATGTTCTTATGCATACATAAACTGTACACATAGGAACATAAAGCTATCTACGTACATGAAAACATACACTTTAAAATTGGCATGTACTTCTGTGAGGCCTTGGTGACTCTTTTGAATGTGCATGTTGGCCATCCAGAGGCTGTCAGCATCCGCTGAGATATGCAAGGATCTTCGCTCTGATCTCTCAGACACATGGGTAGACTTCCTGCCTGTGAACGGGTCTTATGTCCTACACAAACTGATGGGCAGCCTTTCTTCTACCCTCCCCTGGGAACTGTAGCATCTTAAATGGAATTATCCACAGCTATTCATGTGGGGTACATCTGTACTTGTTAATTTCTTCATCCATCGTGGGTGCTTTCAGGACAGCATGCAATTCATGATAGTTCCTAAAACACTTGGAAATGTTCTTTCTCTCACACTTGGGAAAGTTTCATTATCAAAATAACACTGAAAGATCTAAAATAATTCCACTTGAGATTCTGGATTTGGTGCTTGGAGGGAAATAATTTCTTCCTCTGTCCATCAGATTCCTCAAAAGCTATTGTTCTGTCCAGCTGTGCCAACTCCTTGAGTGTATCCAAAGAGTCCTGCACCCCACCACAGAGACACTGCAATCTGTGTTTATTACTGTTGTGTGCGCTCATGACAGCAAGGAAACAGCCTAGGGTTCCACCCACAGATCAATGGATAATGAAAAGTGGTACATCTTTACAATGAATGCTACTCAGCTACAAAGAAAAATAAAATCAGGAACATGGATGGATCTAGAAAGTATAATACTAATCAAGGTGACTCAAACTCAGAAGCACAAAAACTGCATGTTCTCCCTCACATGAAGATCTTACTTTACAATGTATATAGTCTATAATGTATACACCCTAAATGTGTAAGTGTAAACATGGGTAAATGTGAGTATAGAAAGGTGACTAAGAGAAAACATTAGGTGACGGGAAAGAATGGAGAATGGGGGAAAAGGACACGTGGGACATGAAGGAGAGAAAAGGGGCCACTGAAATGGCAGACGTCCATGCACTCGAACACCCACTGTGAGCAGGGAGACATCCATGCACTCGAACACCCACTGTGAGCAGGGAGACATCCATGCACTCGAACACCCACTGTGAGCAGGGAGACGTCCATGCACTTGAACACCCACTGTGAGCAGGCAGAGTCTGCCGTTCCATCAGCTATTAGCTCTTCAGCAGAGTCACTGACCTGAGTCTTTCCACACATGAGTCATCATCAGCCATGCTGTCCTCGTGACAGGACCAATTAGCAGTGTGTCTTCCTGGGGCCACACTCTGAACTCACCTGCTTTCACTGAGGACAAAGAGCTTCCAGCAGACCTGGCCTCCCACAAACCATAGCCCAGTGGAAAAGCAGAGAGTTCCAGACCCACGCATCCTGGCAACTGTCAGCTGGCACTCCGCTCAGGCAGCCTTCCTTCCTGCTTACCCACAGGTCCTGTAACTGAACACGATGAAGCTCTCCTCATCTGTCCTCTCCACGAAGGTCACACAGGTGTGCTTCTCCCAGTGTCTCATGGCCTGTTTGAAAATGGCCCTCTGGCTGCCTGAAACAACAGGGCAATGCCGGTCACTTCACTCCTGGGCACACCTCACCCTCTTCAGTGAAGGCACAATCTTAAGACGAAGCTTGCTCTGATTTTTAAAAATCTTGCTGATACTGCTGCATTTTTTTCACTTGAGGCTTAAGAGAGATTTGAAGTGTCATCATCACTTACACACACACACACACACACACACACACACACATCTATGCACTTTGAATGGTGTTTCAATGTTTTCTGGGGTATTCAGTCTTGATTTTCTGTAAGGATTTTGAAAACAGATGAATTTCATACTTTTTCTGACCCTGTCTTCTGAGTTCCTTGATTGTTGTTACTGTATAATTAAGCCCCCATCTGAGAGTCATACAAAGTCAATAAATATTCTCCAATATCTATCAAGATAACAAAATGAACAATATTTTAACTTTGCTAGAAGCAATGAGAAGTTTATAGAGACAAATAATTTAGAAGTACAAATGGTGATGGAGCAGAGCCCTGAGTTTATAAATAAATAAATCGAGGAAAATCCCACCATAGTCTAGAATACAATGTAGGTATAATATTATATTGTCTCTCAAAAATAGTGCACATAAGATTAACTTGACTGTCTACTTTTTATTTATTTGACCTCTTGACATACTAAGGTTCACATTATTTGTAGCTCAAGCACTTATCAAAGTAGCAATCCTACTAATTATATAATAACATAAAGGCATGTACACAATATTCTAAAATAGTAAGTTATCTCGCATTGATGGAGGTAACATAAGTTATTGATCAGAAGAGTCTGGAGCAGCAGAGAGAGATCAGTGGATGTGAGTACCAAAGAGCAGTGGCAACTGCTTACAGGGATACATTTTAATCTCTGGGTGTGGGACTTTTCCATCAGACAGCCTGGATGACAGGGAGAAGGTATCTCCATTTTCTTACGGCAGTCGCTTGGAAGCTGAAGTAATGTCACCAAGCAGAGCAGAAGGGTAGCCCAGGAAGGTCCCCACCTCTCCCAGGCTCTGTTCATCCACTCTCAGATCTTCCAATCTGCTGCTATCTTGCTCATTCACGGCTCTCAGTGGCTGTGGCAAGTCATTGGGCCATCTGCCTCCATCCACCATCTTTTATAGAAGCCACAGAAGGGACCCCAGCTAGTAAAGTCACTCTGAGAGGCTGTGGCACTCACTCAGTGACGCTTCCAGCTCAGGCATCCAGCCAGTGATCTTCTGTGGGCTTGCTGTGGGCAGATTTGGAGAGTCCCTCCTCTGTACCAGTCACTGTCCTAGGTGCTGGACATGTAGGCATGAAAGGGGGGCTTAGTTCCTGCTCCCACAGAGCTTGGGCCAAGACCAGTTAGAGGCAAATAGAAGTGAAGAAACTCTGGGTCCTGATGAGTGCTGTTAAGATTACAGAGAGAGCTGGGACCTGGAGTAGCTGGCAGGGTAGTGAGGAGCCAGTGGGATTGTCTGCGGATAGATCACTTGAACAGAAGCCAGCCAGGCAAAGGTCTGGGGTTGTGTCTCAGGGACAGAAAGGCAGAGTAAGTGTGCTGGGGATCTGGAGATGGGCAGGTCCTGTGACAGGACGGTGGCTGGTGAGGCTCAGGTCAAGGAGAAAAGAGGAAGGAAGAGGAGGCAGGGCTCTTTACGGAGGGCCTGAGGCCAGGCTAGCAGCCTCAGTCTAAGTGGTTCACATACCCCAAAGATAATACCATGATGCATTGGGCACACTTTTTACGTTCTTATTGGTATTAACTCATTTAGGTCTCTATCACCATCCCCGCTTGTAGAACGGGGAACTGCAGACAGGGATGTTAAATGATTTGTGAGGTGGAGCCAGGACATAGACCAGGAAGTCATGCCACATAATGTGCTACCATAATCTGTATGTGCTCTCTGGTTACCAGGTAGAGCACTGCTCTGGTTCGTACGAACTACCAGATCCATGCTGCTAATCCAGGCTAAGGCTGGGGAGCCACCATGGACAGCTCCCAGCCTCTCTTCCTCCTGCTCTCTGACTGCAGAGGCCCTGCAGTCATTTAAGGCTAAACTTGTAAGACACAGTAGTCGCCCCACCCCCCCGCCCCCGCCCTCCCGCCCCCCCCCCCGCTTCTCCCCACCAACCCTTGAGAACTGGGTGAACTCTGAAGACACAGCCCCAACAGAGATCTGGTGGTCACATCTAGGGCTACTGACCAGTAAAGTTCCCTCCAATGACATAAGGAATGACTCCTCCAGGCCAAATCCGTTCTGTTCTTGAGGTTGTGGCTCTTCGGACTCGGGCAGAGAAGGTCTTATCTGTGGTGGTATCTGAGGTCCCAGGGCCAGGCAGAAATGTGGCATCATCCTTGCCATCTGCAAGACAGTCAATGAATCAATTACTTTGCCCGCAAAGTCTTCTTCAAGTTATACTTCAGCTTAGAGTTTCATTGGTGGTGGATTAACACAGAGTGGGAAACCTGTGCTCTAAGGGAACATTTCGACACCTCGGTTTTTGAGAACCTGGGAGGTAATGTCTCAGACCCAGAGAAGAACATGTGTTGAGCTGAGACTCTGGGCTTCTGACCGCAGAGGGTCTGGCTTGGCTGGGGTCCTGAAAAAACTTCTCCCCTGGGAAGACATAGAATCAAGAAGGTCCAAAGAACTGTGAACCCACTGTAGGATCAAAGTTACACAACGGGGGTGGGGGGGGGTGGGGAGGGACAAGCAGAGTCAGTCCTTTGCCTTGACCTAAGAACGCCAGTGTTACAGACTTTGAGGTCATCTGGGAAAGGCTAACCAGTTGGATAGTGGCAGGGGTAGAGACAGAGTCTTTGTAAAATGGTTACTGGAGAAACAGAGCCTCTTAAATCTCCCCAGTCTCCATGATGTCTGGGCCCTTAAGAGAAGAGGCACAAGGGAGACAAGTGGAGCTTGTTTCTGAGTTCAGGGGGGTGGGAGGTGGCTCAGCGGTTGAGAGCATAGACTGCTCTTGTACCAAGTCACCTGGCTCCAGGAGAGTCAACATCTTCTGTCCTCCATGGAAACTGCAGTCACATGCACCCTCCCAGACACCACACCACACCCTCCCAGACACCCCAACACACCCTCCCAGACACCCCACCACACCCTCACAGACACCCCACCACACCCTCCCACACCCCCACCACACCCTCCCAGACACCCCACCACACCCTCCCAGACAGCCCACCACACCCTCACAGACACCCCACCACACCCTCCCAGACACCACACCACACCCTCCCAGACACCCCACCACACCCTCAGACACCCCACCACACCCTCAGACACCCCACCACACCCTCAGACACCCAACCACACCCTCACAGACATCCCACCACACCCTCACAGACACCCCACCACACCCTCACAGACACCCCACCACACCCTCACAGACACCCCACCACACCCTCGCAGACACCCCACCACGCCCTAAGACACCCCGCCACACCCTCAGACACCCCACCACGCCCTAAGACACCCCACCACACCCTCAGACACCCCACCACACCCTCAGACACCCCACCACACCCTCACAGACACCCCACCACACCCTCCCACACCCCCACCACACCCTCCCAGACACCCCACCACACCCTCCCAGACACCACACCACACCCTCCCAGACACCCCACCACACCCTCACAGACACCCCACCACACCCTCACAGACACCCCACCACACCCTCACAGACACCCCACCACACCCTCCCAGACACCCCACCACACCCTCACAGACACCCCACCACACCCTCCCAGACACCCCACCACACCCTCACAGACACCCCACCACACCCTCACAGACACCCCACCACACCCTCACAGACACCCCACCACACCCTCACAGACACCCCACCACACCCTCACAGACACCCCACCACACCCTCACAGACACCCCACCACACCCTCACAGACACCCCACCACACCCTCACAGACACCCCACCACACCCTCACAGACACCCCACCACACCCTCACAGACACCCCACCACACCCTCACAGACACCCCACCACACCCTCACAGACACCCCACCACACCCTCACAGACACCCCACCACACCCTCACAGACACCCCACCACACCCTCACAGACACCCCACCACACCCTCACAGACACCCCACCACACCCTCACAGACACCCCACCACACCCTCAGACACCCCACCACACCCTCAGACACCCCACCACACCCTCAGACACCCCACCACACCCTCACAGACACCCCACCACACCCTCACAGACACCCCACCACACCCTCACAGACACCCCACCACACCCTCACAGACACCCCACCACACCCTCACAGACACCCCACCACACCCTCACAGACACCCCACCACACCCTCAGACACCCCACCACACCCTCAGACACCCCACCACACCCTCAGACACCCCACCACACCCTCAGACACCCCACCACACCCTCAGACACCCCACCACATCCTCCGACACCCCACCACACCCTCCGACACCCCACCACACCCTCAGACACCCCACCACACCCTCACAGACACCCCACCACACCCTCACAGACACCCCACCACACCCTCACAGACACCCCACCACACCCTCGCAGACACCCCACCACACCCTCACAGACCCCCACCACACCCTCACAGACACCCCACCACACCCTCAGACACTCCACCACACCCTCCCAGACACCCCACCACACCCTCAGACACCCCACCACACCCTCAGACACCCCACCACACCCTCAGACACCCAACCACACCCTCACAGACATCCCACCACACCCTCACAGACACCCCACCACACCCTCACAGACACCCCACCACACCCTCACAGACACCCCACCACACCCTCGCAGACACCCCACCACGCCCTAAGACACCCCGCCACACCCTCAGACACCCCACCACGCCCTAAGACACCCCACCACACCCTCAGACACCCCACCACACCCTCAGACACCCACCACACCCTCAGACACCCCACCACACCCTCAGACACCCCACCACACCCTCAGACACCCCACCACACCCTCCGACACCCCACCACACCCTCCGACACCCCACCACACCCTCCCAGACACCCCACCACACCCTCAGACACCCCACCACACCTACGCAACCACCCCTTCCCACATATATACACATGATTAGTTTTAATATTTAAGAAAGGTTCTGAGTACAAAAAAGGCCCCCGATAGAGGGGATTTGGGACAGAATGTCCAAGCTGGGGTCCCTGACTGGGCCCACACCACGCTGGACCTCCCCAGCACCATCCAGTGTACTTGCTTAAAGCCCTCTTTGCTCCCAGTGGGAGAACTTCCCCAGTTCTTACCTTTCCCCCTAAGAAATAGCTATTAAAAATTCACCTTTTTTTACTTTCCTTTATTTCATTTATTTAGTCACCTCCTTCTCTTTTCATTTTTATGTTTCTTTTCTTGCTTTTCTTTCCTTAAGAATGAGCTATAACTCACCACCATAGCATTCACTCTCAAAGTGTACAGTTCCATGGGTATGTTAACCAAGTGGGCAGGCGTGACCACCGTCTAATTGTATGAGTTTGTCATCCCTGCAAAAAGGAACCCTGTCCCCATTAACAGTCCCTTCCAGTTTCCCCCCTTTCTTTGCCATCCCACGATCTGCTGGGTTTCTGTGGCTGTGACTGTTCTGGTCACTCTGTACGAGCAAGATCAGGCCACAGCAGCCCCCTTTCATTCACAATTGCAGCACGGATCAGCTCTTCATCCTGCTTTGTGGCACAGTGACATTCCGCTGTGTGGGTAGATCACATTTAGCTTGTCTATCTTTGGTTAAACATCTGGGCCGTCTCCACTTTGGGTTATTACAGATCATACCGCCATGAGCACTCATGCGCACATTTGCTTCCACTCTGCTGAGCATGCGCTGTGTGTGGAACGCCGGATCGCGCAGTGCTGTTTAACCTTCCCAAAGCAGCTGTGTCACATCTTGTCCTCACCAGAAAGAAAGAGAGCTATACACACAACCGAGTAAGATTTGTTTCAGTTGCAAGGTTGTTTAGCCCTTGACCATTATGTGCATATTAGTGCATCAGCAAGCTAAAACAGAAAAATCTTTCCTGTTACTACATTTTCTTCTATTACATGTTATTTGTTTATTCTGTGTGTGTGTGTGTGTGTGTGTGTGTGTGTGTGTGTGAGTGCGCGCGCGCGCGCGCGTGTGAAGGGATGCATGCCAGGACGTGTGGGTGAAGGGCAGAGGACGACTTGCTGGACCATGTGGGTCCCAGAAGTGAAATTCAGATTTTCAGATCAGGCAGCAGATCCTACACCCACTGAGCCATCTCTCGGGCCCTATTCATATTTTCAGGTTTATTTTTATTTATGTATGTACGAGCAGGAGAGTGCATGCCACATGCACACGGGGGTGCCAAGAGAAACCAGAGAGGACACTGGCTCTCGTGAAGCTGGATTTACGAGTGATTATGAGCCACCTGACATAGGCTCTTGGAAATGGAACTAGCGAGTTCTCCGGGAAAACAGGAAGTACTCTTGACCACCAAGACGTCTCTCCAGCCCAGAGCTATTCCTGTTTCGTTGACGGTTGCTGCACATGGCTTTAATTAGGTTTTATGTGCTTCTCTTCTTGGTTGCAAGTGTCTAGCTCTTTTTGGTGTAATTAATACGCCCAGGCTGATTTCCTCCTCTCACTAGCTCTCTTTTCTGTTTTTCTCTCAATCTTTTTCTTGCTTTTGGTTAGATTAAGAAAGTTCTCTATACTTACTTTTTATCTCCCGCAACTCTTTTTTTCTGTTCATTAACATTGGTTCTCAGTTTTAATAATTATACACAACTGAACCCTGAATAAAGAGTGAGTGGCCTAGAATGAGTGGGTTCATCTGAAGAAACCAGAGTCCCAAGTTTCATTTCTGAGAAATGAGACGCCTAAAGCCCACTCCAGACTCCACGTTTTCTTGTTGCTTACATGCTTTAAAATTCCCAGTCTGTCTCTGTAAGCAGTGCTTTGTGTGTTTATGAAACAGACGCCTTCCATTTGCCCGTTTCCTGCCTGGAATCACACTCTCTAATGAGTTTAATTATTCTTTCTTGAGGATAACAATATTCCTCAGGCTTTACCTGTAATTACTCTATCCCCCTCCATGTTTAGCTAGAACATTTTAGGACTCTAAGTTGATATATTTTTTGCCCCTTTCTAAACTCATTGTTAGTTTGGTCCCTTCCAAGTCTCTGTATGGGAGTTCTCTGTCTTTCTAGAATTCCTACTGATTACCCATTAGACATGATCATTCAAACTTCCATCTCTCTACACCGTAGTTTGTTTCGGGTTTTGTTTTTTGTTGTTGTCGTTGTCTTCACATTTTGTGTCTTTCGTGGTTTCCTGGGATCTA